ACTCATTTTTTTTCCCTTCAGACTCCACCCGGGACCCTCCAATCCTCATTTTTCCTCCCTTTTTCCGCCCTTTTCCCCTCTTTTCCCAGCCTCGATGCCCCCCAGCCCCCTTTTTCCCCCCCCAGGACCCCCCCCTTACCCCGGTGGCGGCTCCCCGCGGCCTCTGCGGTGCCGAATTCCCGAATTCCCGGAGAATTCCCGGAGAATTCCCCCGTCCCGGTTTCCCGGGGGGGGCAGGAAGGGCCGAGCCGGGCCAGGAAATCGGGGTGGGGGGGCCGGGAAGGGCGGGGGAGGGGAAGGGCACCGGGGGGAGGGGAGGGGAGGGGAAGGGGAGGGGAAGGGGAGGCCCTCTCCCCAAATTGGGGGTCCCGGGACCCCCGAGACTCACCTGGGGCTGGGGGAAGGAGGGTGGGGGGCGCTGGGGGCCCCCCAGGGCCACAGGGTGACCCCAGAGGGACCCCAGACCCCTCCATGTCTCCCCAGAGAGACCCCAGACCCCTCACGAACCCCTCCATGTCCCCTCAGGGTGACCCCAGAGGGACCCCAGAGGGACCCCAGACCCCTCACAAACCCCCCCATGTCCCCTCAGGGTGACCCTAGAGGGACCCCAGACCCCTCCATGTCTCCCCAGAGAGACCCCAGACCCCTCACAAACCCCTCCATGTCCCCCCAGGGTGACCCCAGACCCCTCAGAGGGACCCCAGACCCCTCCATGTCTCCCTAGAGAGACCCCAGACCCCTCACAAACCCCTCCATTTCCCCTCTATGTCCCCTCAGGGTGACCCCAGCCCCTCACAGGCCCGTCAGAGTGACCCCAGCCCCTCACAAACCCCTCCATTTCCCCTCTATGTCCCCTCAGGGTGACCCCAGCCCCTCACAGGCCCCTCACAAACCCCTCAGGGTGACCCCAGCCCCTCACAAACCCCTCACAAACCCCTCAGAGTGACCCCAGACCCCTCACAAACCCCTCACAAACCCCTCAGAGTGACCCCAGACCCCTCACAAACCCCTCTATTCCCCTCCATTTCCCTTTATTTCCCCTCAGGTGACCCCAGCCCCTCACGACTGCCCCCCCCCCATTCCTCCTCCCTCAGAGCCAGGCCCCACCCCCTCTGCCCACTCAGCGCGCTCATTGGCCGAGCGTTTCCCGCCTGGCCCGGAGCGAGCCAATCAGAGCAAGGAAGAACAACTAAGGGGTGGGACGGCAGGTTTTGGGCGGGAGGGGAATTGGCCAATCAGAACGCGCGTCCTTTGGCCACGCCCCAGAAGATTATTTAAATAAACCATGCCTTAAAGCCACGCCTCCTCATCAAGGCCACGCCCCCTTCCCGCGGCTCCGCTGCGGTCCTAAAGCCCCGCCCGCCCAAAAACCCCAAAATCGGCCCCAAAACGGAGCCCCGGAGCGCCAAAATCGACCCAAACGCTCAGAAAAGGCTCCGAGCCAGCGCTAAAACTCCCTGAGAACGCAGCTCAACCCTTCCTCCACCCCCGGAGCCGCAAAACAGCCCTCAATGCCCCCCAAAACCCCAAACTGACCCCAAAACCCCAAATTGACCCCCAAACCCCCAAACTAATCCTAAAACCCCCAAACTGCCCCCAAAACCCCCAAAGTAATCCTAAAACCCCCAAACTGGCCCCAAAAGCGGCCCCAAAACTCCCCCAAAAGCGGCCCCAAGCCCGACTCCGCGAGCCCCAAAATCGACCCGGAGCTCCCCAAAGAGCCCGAACTGACCCTAAAATCCCGAAAGCGGCCCCAAAACCCCTGCCCGGACCCCCCCAGGTCCCTTCCGGACCCCAAAAAACCCGTCCCAAACCCTTCGAAGGGTCCGTGGAGTGACACGGTGACAGTGAGATGGTGACAGCAGCAGTAACAGTGACACAGTGACAGTGGCACAGTGACACAGTGGCACAGTGACAGTGACACAGTGACAGTGGCACAGTGACAGTGACAGTGGCAGTGGCACAGTGACAGTGGCAGTGACACAGTGACACAGTGGCACAGTGACAGTGACAGTGGCAGTGCCACCCCCCAGCGCTGCCACCACCGCTGTCCCCCCCGTGTTCCCCATCTCGGCCCCACGAGCGATTCTGGGGACGCTGCCAACCCCCCGTGTCCCCCCGTGTCCCCCGTGCCCCCCCGTGTCCCCCCACATCCGTGCCCCCCGTGTCCCCCCCGTGTCCGTGTCCCCCCCGTGTCCCCCCCACATCCTGCCCCACGTCACCGCCTGACGCACGGCCCGGCCCGGCCCCCCCCACGCGGGGCCACCCGTGGCGACCGCGGTGACCACCGACTGTCCCCCCCCGGTCCCCAAACCCTCCCGGGATCTCCCGGGGGGGGTCCGTGGGACATCGCGGGGGGGGTCCCGTTTTCCCGCGTGGCTTTTCCCGGGCACCGGGCCCGGGGGGGGTCCGGGGGGGTCCCGGTGCTGACGCAGCGCGGCGGTCCCGGGGGGGCCGGGGGGGCCCTGCGGCTGTTCGGGGTTTCCGCTGACGCCAACGGGGCCCCCCCGCCCCCTCCAACCCCCCCCGGGCCCTTCCCGGACCGCGGGGACGGCACCGGGACCCCCCCGCGACCCCTCCCCACGCGCGGGGTGTCGCCGTGTCCGGGGGGTGTCACCGTGTCCGGGGGTGTCACCGTGTCCGGGGGGTGTCCCCGGTGCTCGGGGGTGTCCCCGGTGCTCGGGGGTGTCCCCGTGCCCGCCCCGCCCCCCGCCCCCCGGCCCCGCCCCCCCGGGACCGCCCCCCCCCCGGTTTTCCCTCCCCCCGCCCCCCACGGGGGGTCCCGGTGCTGACGCGCGTGGGGTGAACCGGGGGGGGGGCGCGGTGAGACATCCCGGAGGGGGGGCTGAGTCAGAGCGGGGGGGTCCCCACGGCCACGCGCGGCGGGAGCGGCGGGGGGGACCGGAGAGGCACCGGGACACCCCCGGGGCGGGATCGGGACCCTCCCGGTACTGGTTGGGACCCCCCGGGGCGGGATCGGGACCCTCCCGGTTTTGGATCGGGACCCTCCCGGTTTGGGACCGGGACCCCCGGTTCTGGATCGGGACCCTCCCGGTGTGGGACCGGGACCCCCCGGTTCTGGATCGGGACCTCCCGGTACTGGTTTAGGACCCCCGGTGCGGGATCGGGACCCTCCCGGTACTGGTTTAGGACCCCCGGTGCGGGATCGGGACCCCCCCGGTGTGGGACCGGGACCCCCGGTTTTGGATCGGGACCCCCCGGTACCGGTTTGGGACCCCCCGGTTCTGGATCGGGACCCTCCCGGTGTGGGACCGGGAATCCCCCGGTGTGGGACCGGGACCCTCCCGGTTCTGGATCGGGACCCCCCCGGTGCCGGCCCGGTCCGGTCCAACCTGCTCCAGGTGCGGTCCCGGTTCCGGTGCGGGAGCGGCGCGGTCCCGACGGCACCGGGAGCGCCGCTCGGGCCGGACCCCGCGGTGCCGGTGCTGGTTCAGGCTTCGGGGCCGATCCCGGTACTCCCGGTCCAGGCGCGACCCCGCTCCCGGTGCTCCCGGTCCAGGTGCGGGACAGGTCCGGGTGCGCAACGCTCCAGGTTCGGGATCGATCCCGGTGCCCCCGCGCTACCGGTACCTCCGGTGGGGGTCCGGACCCACTGCCGGTACCCCCGGTGCGGGCTCGGTCCCACTCCCGGTACCCCCGGTGCGGGCTCGGACCCACTCCCGGTACCCCCGGTGCGGGTTCGGACCTACTCCCGGTACCCGGTGCGGGTTCGGACCCACTCCCGGTACCCCCGGTGCGGGCTCGGTCCCACTCCCGGTACCGTCGGTGCGGGCTCGGTCCCACTCCCGGTACCTCCGGTGGGTGTTCGGACCCAATCCCGGTACCCCCGGTGTGGGCTCAGACCCACTCCCGGTACCCCCGGTGCGAGTTCGGACCCACTCCCGGTACCGCCGGTGCGGGTTCGGACCCACTCCCGGTACCCCCGGTGCGGGTCCGACCCCACTCAGACCCACTCCCGGTACCCCCGGCCCCACTCCCGGTACCCCCCGGTCCCGGTGCGCCCCCGGTGCCCCTCTCCGCCCCCCGGTCCCGCAGCACCGGCACCGTCCGCCGCCGCCCCCCGCGCCCCCCCCGCCGCTCCGCGCCGCCGCCGCCGGTGCGTGGGGGTCCCGCGGTGCCCGGGGGGGGTCCCGGGGGGGTCGCGCGTGTCCGGGGGCCGCCGTGGGGGGTTCGGCTCCCCCCGGGCCGCGGTGAATGGAAAACCGTGACTCAGGATGTGTCATCGGCGGCGGCCGCGGCGGCGGCTCCCGCGGGGTATAAAGGGGCGGGCGGCGCGCCGGGCGTCACGCGGGGACACCCGGACACGCGGACACTCGGCCCCGCCGCTCCCACGCGAGGGTCGCCCCGCACACGCCCCACGCGGGTGGCGCCGGGGACGCGGCCGTGACCGGGGGGGACGCGGCGGGAGGGGACAAAGTGTGAGGGGGGGGCGAGAGAGAGAGAAGGAGCGCGAGTGGGAGCGTGTCACGGCGCGTGGGGACCGTCCCGGCGCGTGGGGACCGGCCCGTGGGGACCGGCCCGGCCCGTGGGGACCGTCCCGGCGAGTGGCATCGCTGCAGAGTGGCCGCGGCAGCGCGGGTGGCAGCGGGAGCGTGTCCCCCCCGCCCCGTCACGAGTGGGGACACGGCGAGCGGCAGCGTGGCCGTGGGAGAGTGTCGCGGAGAGCGGCGTGACCGCGAGTGTGACAGCGGTGGCGTGGCCGCGGGGGTGGCGGCGTGTCGCGGCGCGTGGGAGCGGCCGTGAGCGGGGTCACGCCGCGTGGGTGAGCGCGTGTCTCCCCACGCCGTGCCGCCGCCGCCGCCGGTGACCCCACAGCCACACCGCCGGCGCGACCCACCCGTGGGAGCGGCGCCCCGAACGCGCCCGTGGGCTCCGGTGGGGCCGAGTGCGACCCCCGCCCGCGCCCCCCGCGCTCCCGCGTGGGTCCGGCCCCCGCCGCGCCCCGTGGGGACCCCGCGGAAGGACCCCCGCGTCCCGCCATGACACGTAAGTGCCGGCCGCGGACACGCGTGGGGGAGGACAGAGAGCGGGCGACCCCCGTGGGGAGGGCTCGGGGACGATTCCGCGGTGCGTGGGGGGTGCCCGCGGGTGGCTCCCCTGCCCCGCACCCCGCGCGCCCCACACGCCCCACACCCCACGGGACGGGGCGCGTCCACCCGCGTGGCCCCGGGCCACGGGCAGCTGCGGCCGCGCCTCAAACCGCAAACGGCCCCGGCGCACCTGCCCGCCCGCGGCGGCCGCGCCCCCCCCGGGACACGCGTGGGGGCGGCGGGCGGCGGGGAACACGCGTGGGGCTGCCCAGGTGCGATCGCGGCGGGGTTCGGCTGGCGGGGGCGGTGCGGGGTTTTTGGGGTGGGGGGGATTTTGGGGGTACGGGAGAATCAGAGGGACCCCCCCACACCCACCCCCACCGCGGGTGGGGTAGATCCGTCCCCCTCCCGCCGCGGGTGGGCCCCCCACGCGCGGGGGCTCCGCAGGTGCCGCCGCCGCCGCCCCTGACTCAGCCCCGCATCAAAGTTTCCAGCCCGGACCGCACAGGACGCGCCGCCGCCCCCCGCCCGCAGCCCCCACCCCAGCCCGGCCCCGCCGCCACCGGGAGTGCCCCAAAAACGCTGCCGGGGAACCCCCAACTCCGGGAGCCCCCATTGCTCGGACACCCCGAAACCGGGGGAGCGCGGTTTGCCCAAAAACGGAGCCCCAAATCCCAAAAACGGAGCCCCAAATCCCAAAAACGGAGCCCCAAATCCCAAAAACGGAGCCCCAAATCCCGCGGCTGCTCCCCACGCCCGGGAGTCCCGAGCTCCCGGAGCCCCCAAAATCCCGGGATTCCGAGGAATCCCCGTTCCCGGGAGCCCCCCGGCTCCGGTTTTCCCGGTGCCCGAAGCCCCAAATCCCCGCAATTCCCGCCGTCCCCAAATCCGGGCGTCCCAAATTCCGACAGCCCCAAAATCCCGGGAGAGCCAGGTTCGGGAACCCCCAAATTCCCGCAGTTCCCGAGCCCAAGAGTCCCGAATTCCGACGGCCCCAAAAATCCCGGGAGCCCCGGAATCTGGGAGCCCGCGGTTCCGTGATTCCCGGGATTCCCGAGTCGCGGGAGCCCCAAATTCGGAGATTCCCGAATCCCGGGAGTCCGAGGAATGCCCGTTCCCGGGAGTGCCGCCCGCCGTTCCCGGTGCCGGGAGCCGCAAATCCCGGGATCCCCAAATCCCGGGATCCCCAAATTCCGGGAGCCCCAAATTCCGGGAGCCGCAAATCCCGGGATTCCCAAATTCCGGGAGCCCCAAATTCCGGGATCCCCAAATTCCGGGATCCCCAAACTCCGGGAGCCCCGAATTCCGAGACCCCCGACGTCCCCAACACCGGGATCCCGGCGGAGTCCCAGCCCCGGGAATCCCGGGATTCCAACGATCCCGGGTCCCGGGAGCACCTGGATCCTCCAGACCGGCTTCCCCAGGAGCTCCGGTCCCGGGATGGAGCCCCAGATCATTCCCCGCATCCCGAAAATCCCGGGAGCGCCGGGATTCCCAACCGCCGGGAGCGGCGTCCCCGGGATCGCCGAATCCCGGGAGATGAGGGATCCTCGTGATCCCCATTCCCGGACGTTCCCGGGATCACCGGGAGCCCCAAAATCCCCCGGCCCCGGCGCTCCCGGGATCGCGCGGCCCCCGGATTCCCGGGAAAAGCGGGAACCACGTCCCCGACATCCTCGGGATCCTCGGGATCCTCCATCCCCCCAGTCCTGAATCCCCGGGAGTCGCGGGACGCCCCCAAATCCCGGGATTCCCGTGGTCCCCAAATCCCGGGATTCCCGTGGCCCCGTAAATCCCGGGATTCGCCCCAAAAATCTCCCCTCCCGAGACCCGCGGGCTCTCCCCGCGCCCCGGGCCGCCCCCCACGCGTGTCCGTGTCCCGCAGGGGCTCCGTGGCGGGCGCTGCTGGCGCTGCTGGGGCTGTGGCCGGGGCTGTGGCCGGGCCCGGCGCTGGCGCTCGCCCCCCGCCCGCGCCCCCCGCCCACGGACACGCGTGGGGACCTGGACAGCGTCATCAACCTGGCCAAGGCGCTGCTCGGCGACACCAAAGCCTTCCTGGAGCTCCTGGTGGGTACCTCCGGACCCCCAAAATTCCCCCCAGGACCCCCACGACCCCCCCGGACCCCCAGAACCCCCCCCCAGGACCCCCCAAATCTCCACAACCTCCCGAAAAACCTCCCCAGGACCCCCAAAATTCCCCCAGGACCCCCAAACCCCATAACCCCCTGAACCCCCCAGACCCCCAGAACCCCCCCAGGACCCTCAGAATCACCCCCCAGGACCCCACAAATCCCCTCAAGACCCCACAACCTCCCCAAAAACCTCCCCAGGACCCCCAAAATTCCCCTCGGACCCCCAAACCCCATATCCCCCTGAACCCCACGACCCCCCCGGACCCCCCAAACCCCCCGGACACCCCCAGGACCCCCAGAATCACCCCCCAGGACCCCCCCAGGACCCCCCAAATCCCCACAACCTCCCCAAAAACCTCCGCGTGGCGCGGGCTGACCCCTCCCCTCCCCTCCCCCGCTCCTGTCGCGACAGAAGTCGCGATTCCCGGCCGAGGGGGAGCACAAGCTGGACTCGCTGCCCGTGCTGGCCATGAGCGCGCTGGAGCTGCCCAACATCCAGGTGGGGTCCCCGTGGGTCTGGGGTCCCTCGTGGCTCATCCGTGACCCCCCCCGGGGCCGTTTGAGTGCCCCCAGCCCCATCCTGAGCCCCCTCCTCATTTCCCCGCAGTGTCCCCCCTGTGCCTACCTGTGCCCCCTGTGCCCACCTGTCCCCTGTGCCCTCACCTGTCCCCTCTGCACTCACCTGTCCCCGGTGCCCCCTGTCCCCCCGATGCCCCCTGACCACCGATTTGAGCGCCCCCAGCCCCATCCTGAGCCCCCGCCCCATTTCCCTCAGTGTCCCCCCTGTGCCCACCTGTACCCTGCACTCACCTGTCCCACCTGTGCCCACCTGTCCCCCCTGTCCCCTCACCTGTCCCACCTGTCCCCACCTGTCCCCCTTGCACTCACCTGTACCCTGCACTCACCTGTCCCCCCTGTCCCCACCTGTCCTCCCTGTGCCCACCTGTCCTACCTGTGCCCACCTATCCTACCTGCACCCACCTGTCCCCTGTCCCCTCACCTGTACCCTGCACTCACCTGTCCCCCCTGCACTCACCTGTCTCCTGTCCCCTCACCTGTCCCCGGTGCCCGCCTGTCCCTCCTGTCCCCCCTGTCCCATCTGCACTCACCTGTGCCCACCTGCACTCACCTGTCCCCTGTCCCCTCACCTGTCCCCCCTTTACCCACCTGTCCCTGGTGCCCACCTGTCCCCTCGATGCCCCCTGACCCCCCAATACCCCCTGACCCTCGATGCCCCCTGACCCCCCGATGCCCCCTGACCCCTGCCCCCTGCCCCCTGCCCCCGCCAGGCCGCGGCGCTGCTGCCCCGCCTGGGCTCGGACCTGCTGCGGTACCAGCGGCTGCTGGAGTGGCTGCGCCGGGCCGGGGGCGCCCTGCGGGGGCTGGAGCCGGAGCTGGCGGCGCTGCGGGGCCGCCTGGAGCGCCTGCGGGGCCGCCTGGACCACCTGGTAAGGTGTGCGGCACCTGGAAAGGTGTGCGGGGCGTGGCGGGGACGCGGCGGGGACTCGAACCCGCGGGGACGGGACTCGAACTCGCGGCGCGCAGGGCGGGGGCGTGGCTTGGGGGCGTGGTCTGTGGGTGGGCGGGGCTTGTGGGAATGGGTTCCCGCCGTGTCCCCAACCCAGGTGTGTCCCTGTCCCTCAGGTGTCCCCGTGTCCCCCCTCAGGTGTGTCCCTGTCCCCCAAGTGTGTCCCCCAGGTGTGTCCCTGTCACTCAGGTGTCCCCCCCAGGTGTGTCCCCATCACTCAGGTGTGTCCCTGTCCCTCTGGGTGCCCCCCCCAGGTGTGTCCCTGTCACTCAGGTGTCCCCCCCGGGTGTGTCCCCATCACTCAGGTGTGTCACTCAGATGTGTCCCCCCCCCCCCGCAGGTGTCGCGGCTGTCGCTGCCCCGCCCCCCGGCCCCGCCCCCGGCCCCGCCCCCCGCGCAGGTGCGGCCGTGGGGGGCGGTGCGCGCGGCGCACGCGGTGGCGCGGGGGCTGCACCTGTACCTGGACTGGGCGGCGCGGGGGCTGCTGCTGCTGCGGCAGCGCCTCTGAGCGGGGCCGAGCCGTGCCGAGCCGGGCCAAAGCGTGCCAATGCGTGATAATGTATGCTAATGTATGCTAATGTATGTTATTGTATGTTATTGTATGCTAATGTGTGCTGATGTGTGTTAATGTGTGCTGATGTGTGCTGCTGCTGCTGCGGCAGCGCCTCTGAGCCGCGCCGAGTCGTGCCAAAAGCGTGCCAAAGTGTGTTAATGTATGCTAATGTATGCTAATGTATGCGAATGTATGCTAATGTGTGCGGATGTGTGCACCGCCCCCCGCGGAACCCCCCCCGGGGATCGATGCATCGGTACGGGCCGTGTTCCGTTTTAATTGTTATTTTATTGGTTTTATCGTTGTTGTTGTTTTATTGTTTTTGTTGTTGTTTTAATGTTATAATTTTATTGGTTTTGTTGTTGTAATTTTATTGTTGATGTGATTGTAATTTTATTGGGTTTGTTGTTATAATTATTTCGGTATTTTATTGTCATTTGGATTGTTGTTGTTGGTTTTGTTGTTATTATTGTATTAATTTTATTATTGTTATTAATTTATTTTATTATTTTTATTATTTTTATTATTATTTTATTAATAATTTTTAGTGTTTTTATTTTTATTATTTTCATTATTTTTATTATGTTATTCTTTTATTATTTTAATTATTAATTTTATCATTTTCATTATTTTCATTATTTTCATTATTTTTATTATTTTTATTATTTTATTATTTTATTTTTTAATTATTATTTTTATTATTTTTATTATTTTATTATTTTAATTATTAATTTTATTATTTTCATTATTTTTATGTTTTTATTATTTCATTATTTTATTATTTTATTATTTTTATTATTAATTTTATTATTTTTGTTATTATTTTTAAATTTTTAATTATTATTTTTATTATTTTTTGTAGTGTTTTAATTACTTCATTATTGTATTATTTTTTATTATTTTTACTTTTATTGTTTTCGTTTTAATTATTATTTGTATTATTTTATTTTAATTTTAATTTTCACTGTTATTTGTATTATTTTTATTACTTTATTAATATTTTATTTTAATTTTATTGTTATGATTATTATATTGTCGTTATTATTGTTATTATCACAATAACAATAATAATATTATTTATATCTAATTACGTTATTATTATTTTTATTATCCAAACCCCCCCCAAAGAAAAATCCTATTTATTGTCCCGGGGCGGTTTTTGTAAAAGGGGCCGGGGGGGGGGGGGAGAAGTGGGAAAATAAAGGAGATTTTTGGAAAAAAAACCCAAAATCAAAAAAAATTGGTGTCGGGGGCGTGGGGGAGGCCGGGGGTGTTCGGGAATTTTGGGGATTTTTGGGGCTATTTGGAATATTTGAGATATTTGGGACATTTGAGGGATTTGGAGATATTTGGGACATTTGGGGACATTTTGGATATTTGGGGGATTTGGGATATTTGGGACATTTGGGGATTTTTGGGACATTTTTGGGACATTTTGGGACATTTGGCAGCCACGTCCCATCCAATCCCCCCCCCAATTTAATTAAATTAATTAATTAAATTAATGAATTAACCCACCATTAACCGCTGTTTATTATTAACGACCCCCGCTGACCTTTGGTGGGGGAGGGGTCCCGGATTTTGGGGAGGGGGTCCCAAGGCACTGGGGGGGTGGGGGAGGGGCGGGACCCCCAAATTTGGGGGAGGGACCCCAAAACCGGGGTGGGGGAGGGGTCAGCTCAGAGTATTGCACGGGGGGGGGGGGCTGAGCTGGGGAGGGGATTTGGGACCCCCCCCCCAAAAAGGGGGGGGGGGGGTTGGGGGTTGGGGGGGGGGGAGGGGGGCTCGGGGCCCCTCCCCCATTTTTGGTGCATTTTTGGGGGGTCCCGGGACCCCCCGGAGTGTCCGGCGCAGTTTTTGGGGGGTCACACGGGCGTGGCCCACGGGCTGGGGACGCGGCCGTACTGGGGGGGCAAAAACGGGGGGGGGGTCACAGCCCAGGACCCCCCCCCCCAATTTCACGTTCCTGGTTTTCCTCATTTCCCCCCAAATTTCCCCAATTTCCCCCCAAATTTCCCCAATTTCCCCTTGAATTCCTCCAAATTTCTCCCCAATTTTCCCCCAAATTACCCCAAATTTTCTCCCAGTTTTCCCCCAAATTACCCCAAATTTTCTCCCACTTTTCCCCCAATTTCCTCACAAATTTCCCCCATAGTTCCAAAAATTTCCCCCCAATTTTCCCCTAATTGCCTCACAAATTTTCCCCAATTTCTTCCCAATTTTCCCCAATTTCCCCCATTTTTCCCTTCAATTTCCCCCAATTTTCCCTTAAATTTCCCCCAATTTCTCCCCAATTTCCCCCAAATTTTCCCCAACTTTCCCCCCAATTTCCCCCAAATTTTCCCCAATTTTCCCCAACTTTCCCCCCCAATTTCCCCCCAATTTCCCCCAATTTCCCCCCAAATCCCCCCGTCTGCCCCATTTTCCCCGGATTTTGCCCCAAAACTCACCTGGATGTCGCTGAGCTCCCGCAGGAACCTCGTGGCCACCTCGGGGCCGTTCTCCATGGTGGGCACCGCGAGCAGCTTTTGGGGGGCGGGGGGGGTCACCGCGACCCCAAAACGCTCCCGGGACCCCCAAAAATCCCCCCAATTCCATCCAGTCCCCCAAAACCCCAGAAATTCCAAAAACCTCCCCAAAAACCTCCCCAGGACCCCCAAAATCCCCGCAGGACCCCCAAACCCCGTAACCTCCGACCCCCAAAATTCCTCCCGAGCCCCCCCAGGACCCCCCCAGGACCCCCCAAATCTCCACAACCTCCCTAAAAACCTCCCCAGGACCCCCAAAAACCTCCCCAGGACCCCCAAAATTCCCCTCGGACCCCCAAACCCCATAACCCCCCGGACCCCCAGGACCCCCCCAGACCCCCCGAACCCCCCCGGCCCCCCGAACCTGGTCCCGGTAGAGGATCTCCCCCACGGGGCAGACGACGCAGGCGGTGCCGGCCCCGAACATCTCCCGGAGCCGCCCGGCCCGGAGCGCCCCCAGAACGCTGCCCATGGGCAGGGGGGCTTCGCGCACCCCGAACTCCCCCTGGGGGCACATCGGGGGTCGGGGGGGCCCCGGTGCGCCCCCGGAACGGCCCCGGAGCTCAGCGGTCCCGAAATCCCAAAAATCCTCCTCAAATCTGTACCGGGTGCGCCAAAAATCCCCAAAATCCGCCCCCAAATCTGCTCCGGGCGCGCCAAAAATCCCCCAAATCCTCCCCAAATCTGCTCCGGGCGCGCCAAAAATCCCCCAAATCCTCCCCAAATCTGCTCCGGGCGCGCCAAAAATCCCCCAAATCCTCCCCAAATCTGCTCCGGGCGCGCCAAAAATCCCCCAAATCCTCCCCAAATCTGCTCCGGGCACGCCAAAAATCCCAAAATCCTTCCCAAATCTGTTTTATGGCTGCCAAAAATCCCAAAAATCCTCCCCAAATCTGCTTTGGGCGTGCCAAAAATCCCCCAAAAATCCTCCCCAAATCTGTTTTATGCCCGCCAAAAATTCCCCAAATCCTCCCCAAATCTGCTCCGGGCACGCCAAAAATCCCCCAAATCCTCCCCAAATCTGCTCTGGGTCTCCCAAAAATCCGGACCCCCGACCCACCCCGAGCCCCCCAGACCCCCTGAGCCCCCCAGACCCCCCAGACCCCCTTAGCCCCCCAGACCCCCCAGACCCCCCAAGCCCCCCGCGCCCCCCAGAACCCCGACCCACCCCGAGCCCCCTGGCCCCCCCCCCGGACCCTCCCAGACCCCCCCGCGCCCCCCGCGCCCCCCGCACCCACTGCCGGGCCAGCTCCAGGAGGCTCTGCCGGGTCACCCCGGGCAGGATCAGCCCGTCCAGGGGGGGCGTCACCAGCTCCAGCCCTGGGGGGACACACGGGGGGGGGGTGTGGGGTCACCCCCTGAACCCCCCCCACCCCGCCTGGGACCCCCAAACCAGCCCGGAACTGCCCCCACACCCCAGCCCCTAAAATTCCATAAAATTCCATAAAATTCCCTGAAATTCCCCTTCACCCCCACCCAGGACCCTCCAGGACCTCCCAACCCCCCCTCTCAAACACCCCTGGGACCCCCCAAAACTGCCCAGGATCCCCCAAATCCCCCCCGGGACCCCCAACCCCTCCCAAATCCCCCCCAAATCCCCTCCAGAATGGCCCCGGACCCCCCAACCCCTCCCAAATCCCCCCCAAATCCCCTCCAGAATGCCCCCGGACCCCCAAATCCCACCCCAAATCCCCCCCAAATCCCCTCCAGAATGCCCCCCGGACCCCCCAATCCCTCCCCAAATCCCCCTGGGACCCCCGATCCCCCCCAGGACCCCCCCCAATCCCTCCTAAAACCCCCCCAGGACCCATCAAACCCTTCCCAAATTCCCCCCAATCCCCCCCAAACCCCATCCAGGACCTCCCAATCCCCCCAAAACCCCCCAGGACCCCCCAATCCCCCCCAAACCCCATCCAAGCCCCCCCAAACCCCATCCAGAACCCCCCAATGCCCCCCAAAACCCCATCCAGGACCCCCCAATCCCCCCCAATCCCCCCCGGGACCCCCGAATTTCCCCCAAGTACCCCCGTCCGGGCGCTCCCAGAAGACGAAGAGGTTCATGGTGCCCACCTCGGTCAGGAGCTGCTCGGGGCCGTGCAGCCACAGCACCTGCTGGCACCCACGGGCGCGCGCCTCCTCCTGCAGCTCCAGGCACGGCCCGTAGTTCCTGGGGGGGCAACTGGCGTGGGGACCCCCGGAGAAACCCCAAAAATCCCCCCGGAAAACCCCAGAGCTACCCCCAAAAAATACCCCCAAAAATTCCCTGGAAAAACCCCAAAAATCCCCCCAAAAAACTCCAAAAAGCCACCAAAAAAACTCCAAAACCCCCCCGGGAAAATCCCAGAGCCCCCCTGGGAAAACTCCCAAAACTCCCCCCAAAAAAAGCCCAGAAACCCCCCGGAAAAAACCCAGAGCCTCCCTGGGAAAAATCCCAAAATTCCCCAAAAAAAAGCCCAGAACTCCCCACAAAAAAAACAACAGAAACCCCCCTAAAAAAAACCCAAAACTGCCCCCAAAGAAACCCCAAAACTTCCCCAAATCCACAACTCTACAGTGGTCAGTCCCCGCCGCAGTAGTCACTCCCCAATGGTCACTCCCCAATGGTCACTCCCTGATGGCCACTCCAGTGGTCACTCCGGTGGTCAGTCCCAGTGGTCACTCTCCCCAGTGGTCACTCCCCAATGGTCACTCCCCAATGGTCACTCCCCAGTGGTCACTGCGGTGGTCACTGTGGTGGTCACTCCCCAGCGGTCACTCCCTGATGGTCACTCCCTAATGGTCACTCCCCAGTGGTCATTCTCCCCAGTGGTCACTCTGGCGGTCACTCACCCGCCCAGCTTGCAGTGTCCGGCGCCGCCGGGCCAGGCTCGGACGTGCCGCGGGTCCGCCAGGAGCCGGACGGGCCCGAAGCCCCCCGGGAAGTACGGCCCGACCGGACAGAGCAGCACGAACAGCAGCGCCCGGCCGGGGGGCGCGACCCCCAGGGTGGGCTGGGGCACGGTCAGGGACCCCCGGGAATACCCAAATACCCAAAAATCCCCAAAAATGCACCCAAAATACACCAAAAATCCACCCCAAATACACCAAAATCCCCACAAATCCACCCCAAATACCCCAAAATCCCCAAAAATCTCCCCCAAAATCCCCAAAAATGCACCCCAAATACCCCAAAATCACCCCAAATACCCCAAAATCCCCAAAATCCACCCCAAATACACCAAAATCCCCACAAATCCACCCCAAATCACTTAAAACTGCCCCAAAATCCACCAAGATACCCCCAAAAAACTGGCACAAAATCCACCGAAGTACCTCCCAAAAACCGCCAGAAAACCCACCAAAATATCCCCAAATCCCCCCAGATGCCCCAAAATCCCCCCAAATCCCCTCTGTGAACACCCCCCGCCCCGAACCCCCAGGACCCCGTACCCCTCGGGACCCCCCAAATCCCTCCCCAAATCCCACCGGAGCCCCCAATAACCTCCCCAAACCCCCCTTGAATTCCCCCTAAATCCCCCCCAGGACCCCCCAAAATCCCCCCAAATCACCCCAAATGCCCCAAAATCCCCGAAAATCGCCCCAAAAGCGCCCCGCACCTCGGTGCCGATGAAGGTGGGCCGGATGTAGAGACTGCTCCGGGGGTCGCGGGGCACCCACCGCCCCTCCAGCCGCACCAGCGCCCGGATGCACTCCAGCAGCTCCCGCCCGTCGAACTCCTGCGGGCAAACTGGGAGCACTGGGAGCACTGGGAGCACTGGGAGGGACTGGGGGGGACTGGGAGGGGAACTGGGAGGGGACTGAGGGGGAAAACCCCCCGCGTTTTGGGTGAAATCCCCGCGGTTTGGGTGAAAAGCAGCGCTGGGAGAGACAAAATTGGTACTGGGAGGGACTGGGAGGGAACTGGGAGGGACTGGGAGGGACTGGGAGGGACTGGGAGGGACTGGGAGGGGACTGGGAGGGTTTTTTTATTATTTTCGAGGCTTTTGGGGAATATCAGGGGTCATTTTGGGGGGTTTTATGGTTATTTTGGGGGTTTTGGGGTTATTTTGGGGGTTACTTCGGAGGTTATTTTGGGAGGGGTTTGGGGATGTTTTGGGGAGAGTTTGGGGGTTTTTTTTGGGATGATATTTTGGGGTTATTATGGGAGGGGTTTTGGGGATATTTGGCGGGCATTTTTGGGTTATTTTGAGGGGGTTTTGGGGTTATTTTGAGGGTTATTTCTGGGGGGGTTTGGGGTTATTATGGGAGGGGTTTTGGGGATATTTGGCGGGCATTTTCGGGTTATTTTGGGGGGTTTTGGAGTTATTTTGGCTTTTTTTGGGGGGTTATTTTGGGGTGGTTTTGGGGTGGTTTTGGGGTGGTTTTGGGCAGGTTTTGGGGTCCCTGGAGGTGGTTTTGGGGTGGTTTTGGGGTGGTTTTGGGGTGGCTTTGGGGTGGTTTTGGGGTGGTTTTGGGCAGGTTTTTGGGGTGGTTTTGGGCAGGTTTTGGGGAGGTTTTGGGCAGGTTTTTGGGCAGGTTTTTGGGGCAGGTTTTGGGCAGTTTTTGGGGCAGGTTTTGGGGTCCCTGGGGGGCTCTCCCCACTCACGGGCAGGCAGACCCTGCGGGCCGATCTCTGCATCCTCTCCATGTTCAGTTCGGGGCGGAAAAGCCGAATTTTGTCGTCGTCGCCCCGAAAAGCCTTGAGCCCCTCAAAGAGCTGCAGGAAGGGGTTTGGGGGATTTTGGGGTGATTTTGGGGTAGTTTAGGGGGTTTGGGGTGATCTGGGCTCCCCTGACCTCCACGGTGTAGTGCCGGGTTTGGGATGATTTTGGGGTGTTTTTGGGGTATTTTTCGGGTGTTTTTTGGGTGATTTTGGGAGGTGGGTTTGGGTGTTTCTGGGGTATTTTTCAGGTGATTTTGGGGTGTTTTCAGGCTGTTTTTGGGGTATTTCTCAGCTGGTTTTTGGGTGATTTTGGGTGCTCCTGACCTCCACAGTGGATTTGGGTGTTTTTTGGGCTATTTTTTGGGCTGTTTTTGGGGTATTTTTCAGGCTGTTTTTGGGGTGATTTCAGGCTGGTTTTGGGCTATTTTTTGGGCTGTTTTTGGGGTATTTTTCAGGCTGGTTTTGGGGTGTTTTCAGGCTGTTTTTGGGGTGATTTCGGGCAGTTTCGGGGCGCTCCTGACCTCCACGGCGTAGTGCCGGGTTTGGGATGGTTTTGAGATGTTTTGGGGTGTTTTCAGGCTGTTTTTGGGGTGATTTCAGGCTGTTTCGGGGCGCTCCTGACCTCCACGGCGTAGTGACAGGTTTGGGATGATTTTGGGGTATTTTTCAGGCTGTTTTTGGGGTGTTTTCAGGCTGTTTTGGGGGTATTTTCAGGCTGTTTTTGGGGTGATTTTGGGCTGTTTTGGGGGTGTTTTTGTGTGATTTTCGGGGCGCTCCTGACCTCCACGGCGTAGTGCCGGGTTTGGGATGATTTGGGGGTATTTTTGGGGGTTTTCAGGCTGTTTTGGGGGTGTTTTTGTGTGGTTTTCGGGGCGCTCCTGACCTCCACGGCGTAGTGCAGCGCAGAGGCGGCGGGGTGCAGCCGCAGCTCCTGGAAGGGGCGGATTTGGGGGCGCCCCCAGCCCCCCGAGCGGCTCCACTCCACCGTCAGCATGTGGTCGGTGAAAACCTTCCCGAAGAGCAGCTCCTGGGGCGGCGGCGGCGCGCGGGGCGAGGCCGAGCGCTGCAGCTCCAGCTCCGAGGCCTGCGGGGGGTTTGGGGTTTGGGGTCTTATTTGGGGGTTTGGGGTTCTATTTGGGGATTATTTTGGGGTTTGGGGTCATTTGGGGGGTTTGGGGTTTATTTGGGGGGGTTTGGGGTTTGTTTTGGGGGGTTTTGGGTTTGTTTGGGGTTGGTTATGGGGGGTTTGGGGTTGGTTTTTGGGGGTTTGGGGGGGTTTGGGGTTTATTTGGGGAGGGTTGGGGTTGGTTTTGGGGGGTTTGGGGTTTATTTGGGGTTTATTTGGGGGGGTTTGGGGTTGGTTTGGGGGGTTTGGGGTTTATTTGGGGGGGTTTGGGGTTGGTTTTGGGGGGGTTTGGGGTCTTATTTGGGGAGGCCTGGGGTTTTATTTGGGGATTATTTTGGGGTTTGGGGTCATTTGGGGGGAGTTTGGGGCTGGTTTTGGGGGGTTTGGGATTTATTTGGGGGGGGTTGGGGTTTTATTTGGGGATTATTTTGGGGTTTGGTGTCATTTGAGGGGGGTTTGGGGTTTGTTTTGGGGGGTTTGGGGTTGGTTTGGGGGGTTGGGGGTTTTATTTGGGGTTTATTTGGGAGGTTTGGGGTCGTTCGTGGGGGTTTGGGGTATTTATGGGGATTTTGGGGTCATTCAGGGCATTTAGGCGTTTTCTTTGGGGTATTTTTGGGGGCATTTTGGGGTATTTTGGGGCGGTTTGGGGGATTTGGGTCTCACCAGGAACGTGCTCTTGTAGCCGCGCCGGGGCCGCAGCAGCGTGGCCATGACCTGGGCAGGGGCAGCAGCGCCCAGTTCATCCCAGTTCACACCAGTTTGGCCCAGTTTATTCCAGTTTGCCCCATTTCACCCCAGTTTATCCCATCTTGGACCCATTTTGCCCCAGTTTATCCCATCTTTTGCCCCAGTTTGGCCCCATTTTACCCCATTTTGAACCCATTTTTCCCCATTTTGCCCCAGTTTGCCCCAGTTCGCCCCAGTTTGCCCCAGTTTATCCCAGTTTGCCCCATTTCACCCAGTTTATCCCATCTTTTGCCCCAGTTTTCCCCAGTTTGGCCCCATTTTACCCCATTTTGGGCCCATTTTGCCCCAGTTTGACCCCAGTTTGCCCCAGTTTATCCCAGTTTGCCCCAGTTTGACCCCAGTTTGCCCGTTTATCCCAGTTTATCCCAGTAGCGGGGGAGGCGTGGCTGTGGTGGGGGAGGGGTCCAGGCCCTGCCCCTCCCCCCCGGCCGGACTTTGACCCCCCCCCGGAGCCACCGCGGAGAGAGAGCGGCGGGACTGGGAGAACTGGGAGAGACTGGGGGGACTGGGGGGCACTGGGGGGCACTGGGGGGCACTGGGGGGCACTGGGGGGGACTGGGGGGGACTGGGAGAGACTGGGGGGGACTGGGAGGGACTGGGAGATACTGGGGGAGACTGGGGGGGACTGGGAGGGACTGGGAGGGACTGGGGGGGGCACTGGGAGCAACTGGGGGCTACTGGGAGGGGACTGGGGGGACTGGGAGCAACTGGGATGAACTGGGAGCGGCTGGGAGGGCGGTGGGGGGGCACTGGGAGGAACTGAAAAGGCATTGGGAGCACCGGGACGAGCACTGGGAGGGGACTGGGAGAACTGGAAGGGGCACTGGGGTTACTGGGAGGGTCACTGGGAGCCCCGAGGGGTTACTGGGGTTACTGGGACGGGTAACTGGGGTAACTGGGAGGGTCGCTGGGGTAACTGGGGTAACTGGGAGGGTTACTGGTGGCACTGGGGTTACTGGAAGGGTTACTGGGAGGGTTTACTGGTGTCCCTGAGGTGGTTACTGGGAGAGTAACTGGTGTTACTGGTGTCCCAGTGCCACCGGGACGGGTCACTGGGGTTACTGGGAGGGTCACTGGGGTTACTGGGAGGGTCACTGGGGTAACTGGGGTAACTGGGATGGGTTACTGGGGTTACTGGGAGGGTCACTGGGGTAACTGGGATAACTGGGAAGGGTCACTGGGGTTACTGGGGGCCCTGTCTGGGTTACTGGGAGGGTCACTGGTGTCCCTGAGCTGGTTACTGGTGTTACTGGGAGGGTCACTGGTGTCACTGGTGCACCTGCTGCCATCAGGATGGGTCACTGGGGTAACTGGGGGCCCTGGCTGGGTTACTGGTGTTACTGGGAGGGTTACTGGGAGGGTCACTGGGGTAACTGGGGGCCCTGGCTGGGTTACTGGTGTTACTGGGAGGGTCACTGGTGTCACTGGGGGCCCTGGCTGGGTCACTGGGAGGGTCACTGGGGTTACTGGGGTAACTGGGATGGGTCACAGGGGTTACTGGGAGGGTCACTGGTGTCACTGGGGGCCCTGTCTGGGTTACTGGTGTTACTGGGAGGGTCACTGGGAGGGTCACTGGGGTAACTGGGGTAACTGGGATGGGTTACTGGTGTTACTGGGAAGGTAACTGGTGTCACTGGGAGCCCTGGCTGAGTTACTGGTGTTACTGGGAGGGTCACTGGGGTAACTGGGGTAACTGGGATGGGTCACTGGGGTTACTGGGAGCCCTGTCTGGGTCACTGGGAGGGTCACTGGGCGGTTACTGGTGTCACTGGTGTCCCTGGGAGCCCTGTCTGGGTCACTGGGAGTGTTACTGGTGTCCCTGGGAGCCCTGTCTGGGTCACTGGGAGGGTAACTGGGCGGTTACTGGTCATACTGGGACGTTACCGGAGCCCCCGGTGCCCCCCCCCCTCACCGCTCCGCCGCCCCGGGACCGCAGCGCCGCCGCCGCCATCGCTCCAGGCCCCGCCCCTTCCCCTCTGCGCCAATCGCAGCGCGCCGTGCCGCCCCGCCCACCGCCGCCCGCCCAATAGCAACGCGCCGCTGTGCCCCGCCCTCGGCCCAGCCAATAGCCACGCACCACCCCGCCCCCGCCCGCGGCCAATCGGCGAAGGTCATTCGCACCCCGCCCCCATAAGCCACGCCCCCAAACCAATAAACACAATGGGGCGCTCGGTGCTCATTTGCATATTGGCCACGCCTCCCCACGGCTGGCGACCAATGGGAGCGCGGGGCCGCGCGGAGGGGGCGGGGCCTCGGCACGTGCGGGGCGGAGGGGGAAACAAGGAGCCCCAAAATTCCCGAAATTGCCCAAAATGCCCCAAATCCCCCAAATCCAGCGACCCCAGGAGCCCCGAAATCCCCCAAATCCCTAAAATCACCGAAAGCCCTGAAATCCCGGAAAATTCCCCAAATCCCGGAAATCTCTGAAATCCTCAAAATCACCAAAATCCTCCAAACCCCCAAAATCCCCAAAATTCCCCCAAAATCCCCTAAAATTCCCCCAAAATTCCCCCAAATTCCCCAAATCCCCCCGGGGTGTCCCCCCGCCCCTCCCCCACCCGCGCGTGGGCGGGGGAGGGGCGCGGGAGCTTCCCACGGGTGGGGGAGGGGCGGGCGTGGCCCCGGTCCCGCCCCGGCAGGTGCGGGACGGACCGGGACCGGGTCGGGACCGGGTCGGGACCGGATCGGGATCGGGACAGGTACCGGGCTGGGACCGGGATCGGATCGGTACCGGGATCGGGACCGGATCGATACCGGCACCGGGACAGGGCTGGGACCGTGATCGGTACCGGTACCAGGATCGGGACAGGGCCGGGACCAGGATCGGGATCGGGATCGGTACCGGGACCGGGATCGGGACAGGGCTGGGACCGGGTCGGTACCGGGATCGGGATCGGGATCGGATCGGTACCGGATCGGTACCGGGATCGGGATCGGGATAGGGCTGGGACCGGGATCGGATCGGTACCAGGATCGGGATTGGGACCGGGACTGGATCGGTGCCGGGATAGAGCTGGGATCAGGACCGGATCGGTACCGGGATCGGGACCGGGATCGGGATCGGTACTGGCACCGGGACAGGGCCGGGACCGGGACCGGGACCGGGACCGAGATCGGATCGGTACCGGGATCGGGACCAGGACCGGGACCGGGACCGGGACCGGGACCGGGACCGGGATCAGTACCGGCACCGGGACAGGACTGGGACCAGGACCGGGATAGGGATCGGTACCGGGTTCGGGATCGGTACCGGTACCGGCACCGGGACAGGGCCGGGACGGGGATCGGGATCGAGATCAAGACCTGGACCAGGATCGGGACCGGGACGGGGATCGGGATCGTGACTGAGACCGGGACCGGGAGATGGATCCGGACGTGGAGCGGGACCGGGACAGGGACCGGGACCGGGAACCGGAGCCGTGCCCCGAACCGGAGCCCCGCGGAGCCCGGCCCGGGCCGCCCCCCACGCGTTGGGGCATCTGCGGGGCCGGAGCCATCAGCCACGACTTCGTGCTGGCCCTGGGCACGCTGCCCCGCTCCGAGCACACGGTGACCCAAAAATCCCCCAGAATAACCCCAAATCCCGCAAAGTAACCTTAAATCCCCCAAAATAACCCAAAATAACCCCAAATCCCCCCCAAATAACCCAAAATAACCCCAAATCCCCCTAAATAACCCCAAATCCCCCAAAGTAACCCCAAATCCCCCAAAATAACTCCAAATCCCCGGGAGCCCCAAAATCCCCGGTACACCCCAAAATCGCCGGGAAACCCAAAAGCCCCGGGACCCCACAAAACCCCCCAAAATACCCGGGACCCCCAAATCCCCCAAAATCCCCGGTGCCCCCCAGAACCCCAGTGAGCCCAAAACCCGGGGGTGTCCCCAAATCCCGGATGTGTCCCCAAATCCCGGGGGTGTCCCCAAATCCCGGGGGTGTCCCCAAATCCGGGCGTGTCCCCAAATCCCGGGGGTGTCCCCAAATCCGGGCGTGTCCCCAAATCCCGGGGGTGTCCCCAAATCCCGGGGGTGTCCCCAAATCCGGGGCGTGTCCCCAAATCCGGGCGTGTCCCTCCCCCGCTGCTGTGCGATCCCAATCTCCGGGTTCCCTCCCGACCCCCCAAACCCGGGGGGGGTTTTTGGGGTGCCCCGGGGTTTTGGGGTCCCCGCGACCCCCGGCCGTGCCCCCGCAGGTGGTGGCCGTGGCCGCCCGGGATTTGGGGCGCGCCCAAACCTTCGCCCGCCGCCTTGGGGTGCCCCGGGCCTACGGATCCTACGAGGAGCTGGCCCAGGACCCCGACATCGGTGCGACCCCACAAAGATTTGGGGTCCTGAGAGGATTTTGGGGTTTTTTGGGGGTTTCTGGGTAATTTCAGTGATGATTTTTTGGGGCCAGGGGGTGTTTGGGGGTTTTTAGGGGTTGGGGTGTTTTTGGGATGTCCCCCCCTGATGTGGTGCATGTGTGGGAGGCGTTTGGGGGTCGGGGGTTTTATGGGATTTTGGGGGTTTTGGGTTTTTTGGTTGTTTTTTTTTGGGGGTCGGGGCTGTATGGGGTTTTTGGGGGGTTTTAGCATTTTGGGGTTTTTTTTGGGTTGGGGTTGTTTTCTGGGCTCCCTGAGGCTGTTTTTGGGGTCTCTGAGGCTGTTTTTGGGCTCCCTGAGGCTGTTTTTGGGGTCTCTGAGGCTGTTTTTGGGGGTCTGAGGCCGTTTTTGGGCTCCCCTGAGGCCGTTTTTGGGGGGATTTTTTTTGCCGTTTGGTTTTTGGGTTCGGGCTGTTTCGGGGCTGCCCTGAGGCCGTTTTGGGGGGGATTTTTTTGCTGTTTGGTTTTTGGGTTCGGGCCGTTTCAGGGCTGCCCTGAGGCCGTTTTTGAGGGGATTTTTTTGCCGTTTGGTTTTTGGGTTCGGGCCGTTTCGGGGCTGCCCTGAGGCCGTTTTTGGGGGGATTTTTTTGCTGTTTGGGTTTGTGAGTTCGGGCTGGTTTTGGGCTCCCCTGAGGCCGTTTTTGGGGGGATTTTTTTTCCGTTTGGTTTTTGGATTCCGGCCGTTGTCGGGCTCCCCTGAGGCCGTTTCTGGCCCCGCAGACGTGGTGTACGTGGGCACGGTGAACCCCACTCACCTGCCCGCGGGGCTGCTGTTCCTGCGCCGCGGTCGGGCCGTGCTGATGGAGAAGCCGATGGCGCTCGACGCCCGCGAGGTCGCGCAGCTCGTGGGGACGGCGCGGGAGCGCGGCGTCTTCCTGATGGAGGTGCCCCTTCCCAGTGCTCCCAGTTTGTGTTCCCAGTGCTGCCAGTGCCCCCAGTCCCCCCAGTCTCTCCCAGTCCCCCATTCCCAGTGCCCCCAGTCTCTCCCAGTCCCCCCAGTCCCGCATTCCCAGTGCTCCCAGTGCCCTCAGTACCCCATTCCCAGTGCTCCCAGTGCCCCCAGTCCCCCATTCCCAGTGCCCCCAGTCCCCCCAGTCCCCCATTCCCAGTCCTCCCCAGTCTCTCCCAGTGCCCCCAGTCTCTCCCAGTCCCCCATTCCCAGTGCTTCCAGTGCCCCCAGTGCCCCATTCCCAGTGCTCCCAGTCTCTCCCAGTCCCCCCAGTACCCCATTCCCCCCAGTCTCTCCCAGTCCCCCATTCCCAGTGCCCCCAGTCCCCCCCAATCTCTCCCGGTACCCCATTCCCAGTGCTCCCAGTGCTCCCAGTGCCCCATTCCCAGCCCCCCCAGTCCCCCCCAGTCCTTCCCAGTCCCCCCAGTCTCGCCCAGTCCCCCATTCCCAGCCTCCCCAGTCCCCCCCAGTCCTTCCCAGTCCCCCCAGTCTCGCCCAGTCCCCCATTCCCAGTGCTCCCAGTGCCGCCCAGTCTCTTCCACTAATCCCATTCCCAGTGCTCCCAGTCTCTCCCAGTCCCCCATCCCCAGTCCCCCATTCCCAGTCCCCCCAGTCCCCCCAGCACCATTTTTTCCCCCCGCAGGGGTTCTGGACACGCTTTTTCCCCGCCTGGCGCCGGCTGCGCTCGCTGGCGGCCGGGGGGTCCCTGGGGTCCCCGCTGGTGCTGCGGGGGTCTCTGGGGTTCGCCCTGGGGGGGGTCCCGCGGCTGCGCGAGCCGGCGCTGGGCGGGGGGGCCCTGCTGGACCTGGGGGGCTACGGGGTGCAGGCAGCGCTGGCCCTGCTGGGGGGCGGCCAGGGACCCCCCAAACTGCGGGCCCACGGGCGGCTGCACCCCACCGGTACGGACTGGGGGCACTGGGGGGCACTGGGAGGGGGTTGGGGGGCACTGGGGGGGACTGGGGGGGGACTGGGGGGCACTGGGGGGCACTGGGAGGGGACTGGGGGGCACTGGGGGGCACTGGGAGGGGATTGGGGGGCACTGGGAGGGGATTGGGGGGCAGTGAGGGGCACTGGGGGGCACTGGGAGAGGATTGGGGGGCACTGGGGGGCACTGGGAGGGGACTGGGAAGGGACTTTTTTCCCGTTTTCCACAGTTTTTACCCCGTTATTTTCCCCCTTCCCTCCCCATTTTTTCCCCATGTTTTCCTCCATTATTTTCCCCATTCTTCTCCCGATTTTTTTCCCGTTTTCCGCTGTTTTCCCCCCGGTTTTTTCGCCCGTTTTCCGCCGTTTCCCCCCGTTATTTTCCCCGGTTTTTTTGCCCGTTTTCCCCCGTTATTTCCCCCATTTTCCCCCTTTCCAGGCGTGGACGAGTCGGTGTCGGTGACGCTGGAATTTCCCGGGGGGGGTCTCGCCGCGCTCCTTTTCTCCATGGCCGCGGAGCTGCCGGGGGGGGCGGCGCTGGGGGGCCCGCGGGGCTGGGCCGAGGTGACCCCAAAACCGGAGGGGGACCCCAAAATCCGGGAGGGACCCTCAAAACCAGGAGGGGGGGGGCCAAAAACCGGGAGGGACCCCAATACCGGGGGGGGGACCCCAAAACCCGGGGGGGGCCCTAAAACCGGGGAGTAACCCCTAAACTGGGGGGGGGCTGCCCAAAAACCAGGGAGTGACCCCAAAACCGGGGTGGGGGGACCCTAAAACTGGGGAGCGACCCGAAAACTGGGGGGAGGGGGGGGCCCAAAAACCGAGGAGGACTCCAAAATTTTTTTGGAGGGGTTTCAGTATTTTGGGTGGTTTTTTTTGTGTTTCCGGGCTTTTTTGGGGGGTTTATGTGGGTTTTTTTTATTTTTTTGTGGGTTTTGGGTTTTCCCGCGGGGTTTTGGGGTGCCCCTGACCCCCGTGCCCCCGCAGCTGCCGAGCCACATGAACTGCCCCACGGAGCTGTTTTGGGGGGGTCGCTGTGAGCGTTTCCCGCTGCCCCCCCTGGCCGAGACCCCCAACTTCCCCCACGGCGCGGGGCTGCGCTTCGAGGCACAGCACGTGCGGGACTGCCTGCTGCGGGGTGAGATTTGGGGTGAAACCGCGGGGATTCGGGTAAAACACGGGTTTTGGGGTGAAACCCCCGGGTTTTGGGGTGAAACCTCCGGGTTTTGGGGTGAAATTGCGGGTTTTGGGGTGAATCCCCCGGGTTTTGGGGTGAAATTGCGGGTTTTGGGGTGAATCCCCCGGGTTTTGGGGTGAATCCCGGGTTTTGGGGTGAAACCCCCGGGTTTTGGGTGCCCCAGGACTGACCGAGAGCCCCGAGATGCCGCTGGCCGAGAGCGAGGTCATCGCCCGACTGCTGGACGAGGCGCGGGCCCAGGTGGGGGTGCGGCTGTCCGGAGTGACCACTGACCACCTGGAGCGGCCACTGACCCTCCCGAGTGACCAGCGACCCCCTGGAGTGACCACTGACCCTCCCGAGTGACCACTGACCCTCTGGAGTGACCACTGACCCTCCCGAGTGACCAGCGACCCTCTGGAGTGACCACTGAGACTCCTGAGTGACCACTGACCTCTGGAGTGACCACTGACCCTGCCAAGTGACCACTGACCCTCCCGAGTGACCAGCGACCCTCTGGAGTGACCGCTGAGACTCCCGAGTGACCACTGACCTCTGGAGTGACCAGACCCTCCTGAGTGACCACTGACCCTGCCAAGTGACCACTGACCCTGCCGAGTGACCCCGGAGTGACCGCAGCAGCTCTGGCGTTGCACCCGTGGTTTAATAAAATCTCCAAAATCTCTGAAACCGCCCCAAAACGGTGCCCGGCCACTCGCAGTGTGTCCCATTTTGGGTTTATTCGAGCCCGTTTTGGGTTGATTCCAGCCCGTTTTGGGTTTTTTACAGCAGGATCCCGTGCTGCCGCAGCACCGCCGTGAACGGCGCCGCTTTCTTCTCCGCGCTGCGCTCGGCCCGGCGCCGCAGGCTCTGGGGCCAAAAACGGGAGAATCGGGAAAAAAAGGGGAAAAACAAGGAAAAAAAACGTGAGAATCAGGGAAAAAACGTGGGAAAAAAAAAAAACCAAGCAAAAAAAGTGGCAAAAAAAGTGATAATCGGGGAAAAGGGAAAAAACAGGAAAAAAAAGAGGCGAAAAATGAGATAATCAGGGGAAAAGGCAGGACTTTCCCACCCCTGTCAGCATTTCAGAATCCCACTCCCAAATCCTGGGGGGGTTCTCCCTGCCTGGCTCTGGACCCTCCCCCTGATTTGGGTGTCCTCCTGTCGAAGGGATTTTGGGGCGTTTTCCCCGTTTTTCCTCACCATCATCTTCCTCTTCTTGTTGTAGCGGATCTTTGCCTTCTCCTTCCGCTTCTCCTCCAGGGCCTCGGTCACGTCCCGGTACTTCCAGCCCACCTCGTGTGCCAGCCGGCCCAGCACGGCGAACTGGGGGGCACAGGGGGCTCAGTGGGGCCAAAACCCCAAAATCCCCCCCGAAATACCAGAAAAACACCCTCAAATCCCATAGAATCGCCCAAAACTCCGTAAAACCACCCCAAATCCCATAAAAACACCCAAAACTGCCCCCAAATCCCATAAAGCCACCCCAAACTGCCCAAAATACCACAGAACTCACCCAAATCTCCCTAATGCTCCACCCAAATCCTTTAACACCCACATGCATCTCATAAAACCCTTAAAATCCCTAAAAAAATCCCACAGAAACCCCTAAAATCCTTTAAACTCCTTAAAAAACCCTCGTGAAACCCCCGAAAAATCCCCCACCAAAATCCCACACAACCCCTAAAAAAACCCCATAAACTCCCAAAAAAATCCATAAAATAACCTCATAACACTCTCTGAAACCCCCTAAATCCACAAAACAATCCCATAAAACCCCAATATCCCAAAAACTCCCCAAAAAAACCTTTATAAACCCCCAAAGCTCCTCCTGCACCCACCTTGCGCGTGGGTTTGAGGCGGATGATTTTGAGGGCAGCCGGCACCACCATCCGCTTCCTCTGGAAAACCCGGGAAATTTGGGGTTTTTTGGGATTTTTGGGGTTTTTTTGGAGGGTCCCGGGGTGGGCGGGGCTCCGGGTGTCTCAGATTTGGGTTTTTCTCAGCAGAAATCGAACAATGTAGGTAAAATGACATCATGGACACCGGGGCTCGTTTGGGGGATTTGGGGGAGATTTGGGGGGTTCCAGAGGGGGAATTTTGGGGAAGATTTGGGGGATTCTGGAGAGGGAATTTTGGGGGTTCTGGAGAGGGAATTTGGGGATGATTTGGGGAGTTCTGGAGTGGCAATTTGGGGGGTTTTGGAGGGGGAATTTTGGGGGAGATTTGGGGGATTCTGGAGGGGGAATTTTGGGGGTTCTGGAAAGGGAATTTGGGGAAGATTTGGGGAGTTCTGGAGTAGTAATTTGGGGGTTTTGGAGGGGGAATTTTGGAGGTTTTGGGGTTTTCCCACCTTGTCGTAGGGCGGGGGGATCCCATCGAACACCTTGAGCCGCTCCAGGGCCGCCTGGCCCCGCTTGGTTTTGTGGGGCAGCATCCCTGAATTTGGGGTGAAAACACAAATTTAGCAGGCCTGGATTTGGGGTGGAACTGGAAATTTAGCAGGCTTGGATTTGGGGTGAAAGCAGCGGGATTAGGGAAACTCCCAGGGCTGGTTTTGGGATAATCAGAGAAAAAGGAAAAAAAAAGAGGAAAAAAGGAGGGAAAAAAATGGGAGTCAGAGAAAAAAGAAAAAAAAACCAGGAAAAAAAAAAAAGGGAGAATCAGAGAAAAAGGAAATAAAAGTGAAGTTTTCACCTCGGACCGTGCGCCAGAAGATCCGGCTGGGCGCTCGGAAGTGGAAGGGACCCCGTGAGGGGTTGGTGTTCATCCTTTTCCTCAGGAACGCCAGGAACTTCACTGTGGGGAAAACGGGGCAAAATCCCTCAGAAACGGCAGGAAATTGGGGCAAAATCCCTCAGAAATGGCAGGAAAACGGGGCAAAATCCCTCAGAAATGGGGCAAAATCCCTCAGAAACGGCACATCTGGGGTTGGGCAGTGCCGGGATGGGGAAAAGGGGGAAAAACCCCCCAAAATCTTCTCTGGGGTGGGCAAAGAGCAAATTCCCTACACGGGACTTGGGGAATGGGAAAAGAGCTCAAATTCCCCAAAAAGGGCTCCGGGGGTGCACCGGGAACCTTCTGGAAACTTTCCTCAACTTCTGCGTGACTCAGAAAGGCCGGGATTGTCCCAAAACCGGGATTGTCCCCAAAACCCGGGATTGTTCCCAAAACCCGGGATTTCCTCCAAACCCGGGATCTCCTTCCATTCCCGGGATTGTCCCCAAAACGCGGGATCTTCTTCCATTCCCGGGATTGTCCCCAAAACCCGGGACTGTCCCCAAAACCGGGGATTTCCTCTAAACCCGGGATCTCCTTTCATTCCCGGGATTGTCCCCAAAACCCGGGATTTCCTCCAGAACCCGGGATTTCCTCCCAAACCCGGGATTTCTGCCAAAACCGGGGATCCCCTCCCATTGCCGGGATCCCCTCCCGGGACCCCCGGGACACTCACGCTTGTTGCGGTAGAAGTTCCCGGAGATGTTGATGCCCTCGCAGCGAACCACGACCACGCGGCGGCCTGCGGAGAGCGCGGCGGGGCCGGGTCAGCCCCGCCCGGTGCCCCCGGTGGTGCCCGGTACCCCCCGGTACCCCCCAGTTGTGCCCGGTGCCCCCCGGTAACCCCCGCGCTCAGCTGGTAGTGCATGGAGGCGGCTCTCATTGTCGTTAAACTCGACAGCCGACAGCGCTCATCACGGCGCGGGGGCCCCGGTACTTCCCCGGTGTCCCCGGTATTTCCCCGGTATTGCCCTGAGAAAGGCTCCCGCACTCACCCAGCAGCACCTGCTTGGCCACGATCGCCGCCAGCCGGCCCAGGAGGTGCCCGCGCCCGTCGATCACCAAAACCTGCGGGGCGAGCGACACCGGGTGAGGCCCCGCCGCCACCGGGGCCAGGCCGCACCGCGGAGCCGCCACGTGGCCGCGCCCCGCGCTCCCCCCGCCGCCCGCCCGCCGCTCGCCGCAGCCCCCCGCCGTGCCCGGCCTCTCCGCAGAGCCCCGCGGAGCCCGGCCGGGCCCCCGTCCCGCCCCGTCCCGCTCCCGGTGCCGCCGCGCCGCACCCGCGGCTCCGCCATGGCCGCCGCCCGCTCGGAAAGAGGCCCCGCCCACACCGCGGGGTCACCTCTTCCGGCGGGGACAGCGCGGGGGCGGAAGTGACACCGCGAACAGGGCGTGAAGCCGCGCCGGGACGCGCCATTGAGGGCGGAAGTGGGGCACCGGTGCTCCCAGTCCCTCCCAGTGCTCCCAGTACGCGCAGGACCCGCTCCCCGCCCTCCCTGTGCTGCCCCAGTACCTGCTGTCCCCTCCAGTACCCCCAGTAGCCGCCCGAGTCCATCCCAGTGCCCCCAGTACAACACTCCAAGCTCTCCAGCGGCCGCTCCTTTTATTTATATATGTACAGCGGAAGGGCCCCGGCTCCCGGGGCTCTCGGGGCTCTCGGACCGGGGGTCCCCGGTGGCTCCCGGGGCTCTCGGGGACGGAAGGGGGATGGGGTCGCCTCTTCGGAGCGCATCCCCGCGGGCGCCCCGCGTCACCCGAGCGGGGTCCCGGGGGCCGGGGTGGTGCCGGTGGCGCCGTAGCTGGCGGGGGGCCCTCCCGGGGGTCCCGGGGGTCCCACTCCTCCTTCCTCATCCTCCTCCTCCTCCTCATCGTCGCCGGTCGGCGCCAGAGGCTCCGCCTCCTCGCGCGGCGGCTCCGCCCACGGCTGCGGCTCCCCCGAGGCGAAGGCGCCGTAGAAGGCCACGCCCCCGTAGTGCACGAGCGCGGCGATCAGGAACACCCACTGCCACTCCTCGCGCGTCTGCGCCAATCAGCGCCCGTTGCGTCACCGCGGGGGCGGGGACACGCGGGGCAGTGAATGGGGAGGGGGCGTGGTCAGCGCGGAGCGCGGAAAGGGGGCGGGGCCAAGCCGAGTGGGCGGGGCCGAGCGGACAGTGATTGACAGGCGGCCGGCGCGACCCCCAAAATTACGGGGTCCCCTCCGGTCCCCTGGTGTCCCCCCAGTGCCATTGTCCCCTGTGTGCCTCGGACCATGCCCCTGTGTCCTCCGTGTCCCTCTGTCCCCCCCATGTCCTATTGTCCCTCCGTGTTACTCCATCCCCCTGTGTCCCTCTGTCCCCCCCCATGTCCCATTGTCCCCCCCATGTCCCTCTGTCCCCCCATGTCCCTCTGTCCCCCCCATGTCCCTCTGTCCTCCATGTCCCATTGTCTCCCCATATCCCATTGTCCCCCCATATCCCTCTGTCCCCCCATGTCCCTCTGTCCCCCATGTCCCTCTGTCCCCCATGTCCCTCCATCCCTCCATGTCCCTCCATCCCTCAATGTCCCTCTGTCCCCCCATGTCCCTCTGTCCCCCATGTCCCTCTGTCCCCTCCATGTCCCTCTGTCCCCTCCATGTCCCTCTGTCCCTCTGCCCCCCCACTGCCCCCCCCGCTGTCCCCGTTGTCCCCGCACCTTGTGGCGGGTCAGTGCCCCCACGATGAGGGGACACACCATGCCGGACAGGGTCCCCACGCCGTTGGACAGCCCCATCAGCACGCTGGCGTAGCGCGGCGCGATGTCCAGGTGGTTCACGTTGAACCCTGCGTGGGGAGGGGACACGGGGGTGTCACCGGCGTGTCCCCCGCCCCGAGAGACCCTCGGGAAAAAAAACACAAAACACCCCAAAAAACCGCCACAAAACACCCCAAAAAACCCACAAAACACCCCCAAAAAACCCCACAAAACACCCCCAAAAAAACCCCACAAAACCCCCCAAAAAACCCCCACAAAACCCCCCAAAAAACCCCCACAAAACCCCCCAAAAACCCCCACAAAACACCCCAAAAACCCCCCACAAAACCCCCAAAACCCCCCCCACAAAACCCCCCAAAAAACCTCCACAAAACAACCCAAAAACCTCCCACAAAGCACCCCAAAAAACCCCCACAAAACACCCCAAAATCTCACATGAAACACCCCAAAAACCCACAGAAAACCCACATAAAAACCACCCTGATACCCCCTACAAAACACCCCAAAAAAACCCCACAAAACACCCCAAAAACCCCCCAAAAAACCCCAAACCCCCCCAAGACTCCCTACAAAACACCTCAAAATCTCACATGAAACACCCCAAAAACCCACAGAAAACCCACATAAAAACCACCCCAATACTCCACACAAAACCCCCCAAAAAACACCCACAAAACACCCCAAAAAAACCCAAAAAACACCCCAAAACACCCCCAAACCCCCCAACACCCCCCACGAACCCCCCATGCTGTCCCCACCGGAGATGGCGAAGCCGCTGAAGCCCACGGCGAGCACCAGGAAGGAGATGGCCACGGCCCGCGAGTGCGAGTAGCCCACCACCAGCAGCAGCGTGGCCTCCATGCCGAACCCTGCGGGGGACACTGTCACCTGCTGTCACCTCTGTCATCTCTGTGTCCCCTCTGTCACCCGCTGTCCCCTCTGTCACCTCTGTGTCACCTCTGTCCCCTCTGTGTCCCCACTGTCCCCTCCATGTCTGTGTCCCTGCTGTCCCCCCGTGTCCCCCCGTGTCCCCCATGTCCCCTCTGTCTCCTCCGTGTCTGTGTCCATGTCCCCACTGTTCCTCCCATGTCCCCGCTGTCCCCCCATGTCCCGTGCCCCCCATGTCCCCCCGTGTCCCCCCATGTCCCCCTGTCCGCACTGTCACCCCATGTCCCTGCTGTCCCCCCATGTCCCCATGTCCCCCATGTCCCCGTGTCCCCCCATGTCCCCCCGTGTCCTGTGTCCCCGCTGTCCCCCGTGTCCCCACTGTCCCCCCGTGTCCCCCCGTGTCCCCCATGTCCCCCTGTGTCCCCCCGTGTCCCCCATGTCCTCCCGTGTCCCCGTGTCCCCCCATGTCCCCCCATGTCCTCCCGTGTCCCCGCTATCCCCCCATGTCCCCCCGTGTCCCCATGTCCCCCCTGTCCCCCCCATGTCCCTGTTGTCCCCCGTGTCCCCTGTGTGTCGCACTGACCGCCGCAGTTCATCATCTTGCGGACGTTGGTGGTGGACATCAGCCCCCGGGAGCGCAGCAGGTCGGCGATCTGCCCACCGATGGGCACCACGATGGTCATCACCAGGTGCGGCAGCGCCGACAGCAGCCCCACCTGCTCGGGGATTTTGGGGTTTTTTGGGGATTTTTGGGGTTTTTTGGGGTTTTTTGGGCTTTTTTGTGCAGCTTTCTGTGGTGTTTTCTGCAGGTTCCTGGGGGTTTTTGGGGTGTTTTGTGGGGGTTTGGAGAGTCTTGGGGGCTTTTGGGGTGTTTGGTGGGGTTTTCTGTGGGTTTTGGGGTGTTCTGTGGGGTTTCGGGCAGGTTTTTGAGGTGTTTTGTGGGGTGTTTGTGGGATTTTTGGGGGTGTTTTGTGGTGGTTTTTGGGGTGTGTTGTGGGTTTTTTTGTGGTGGTTTCTTTTTGTTTTTGGGGTGTTTTGTGTGGGTTGTTTGGGGTGTTTTGTGCGTGGTTTTGGGGTGCTTTGTAGGTTTTTTTTTTGTGTGGGATTTTTGTGGTGTTTTTTTTTTTTGGTTTTGGGTTTTTTGTGTGGGATTTTTGTGGTTTTTTTGGCGCTTTGTGGGGATTTTTGGGCCCGACCTTGCTGATCTCGAAGCCGAAGACCTCCTCGAAGTAGGCGGGCTGGCTGATGAGCAGCAGGTAGAAGGTCCAGCTGCGGCAGAAGTTGGCCACGATGATGGCGTAGACGGGCATCGAGGTGAAGAAGTGGCGCCAGGGCGTGGCCAGCTGCGGGCGGGAGTGACCACTGACCCCCAGTGACCCCAGTGACCCCCAGTGCCCATCCCAGTGATCCCCAGTGACTCCCAGTGCCCATCCCAGTGACCCCCAGTGACCCCAGTGACCCCAGTGCCCATCCCAGTGACCCCCAGTGAACCCAGAGACTCCCAGTGCCCATCCCAGTGACCCCCCAGTGGCTCCCCAGTGACTCCCAGTGCCCATCCCAGTGACCACAATGCCCATCCCAGCACTCCCAATGCCCATCCCAGTGCTCCCAGTGCCCATTCCAGTGACCCCCAGTGACCCCCAGTGACCCCAGTGCCCATCACAGTGACCCCCAGTGACCCCAGTGACCCCAGTGCCCATCCCAGTGACCCCCAGTGACTCCCAGTGCCCATCCCAGTGACCACAATGCCCATCCCAGTGACTCCCAGTGCCCATCCCAGTGACTCCCAGTGACTCCCAGTGCTTGTGCCAGTGCTCCCAGTGCCCGTCCCAGTGCTCCCAGTGCCCATCCCAGTGACCCCCAGTGCCCGTCCCAGCACTCCCAGCACCCCCAGTGCCATTCCCAGTGCTCCCAGTGCCTCCTGTGCACATCCCAGTGCTCCCAGTGCCCATCCCAATGACTCCCAGTGTCTGTCCCAGTGCTCCCAGCGCCCATCCCAGCACTCCCAGCGCCCCCAGTGCCCTTCCCAGTGCTCCCAGTCTGACCAGCAGTGGGTTGCTGCCCGCGCTCTCGCCGATGCTCTCCTCGATGTACTTGCGCTCCTCAGCCGAGATCGTCGGGTGCTGCGCGGGGCTCTCGTAGGACACCAGCACCCAGAACAGGTACCAGAGCACCCCAAAACTGCCTGGAGGGCGGGGCTTACTGGGAGGGGCACTGGGACCACTGGGAAGGGGCACTGGGGGCACTGGGAGGAGTCCCCAGGGGTCCCCAAGGGGCTCGGGGGTGTCCTGGTGGTCCCGGGGGGTCCCGGTGGTCCCGGTGGGTCCCAGGGGGTCCCGGGGGTGTCCCGGTGGTCCCGGGCTCTCACCGTAGACGTAGAACACGGAGCTCCAGCCCGTGTACTGCACCAGGACCCCGGCCAGCGGCATGGCCACCACCGCCCCGGCGTAGGAGCCTGCGGGGGCACAGCGGTCACCGGGAGCCCCCCGAGAACCCCGGAGCCCCCCGGTAACCCCCCGAGCCCCCCGGTAACCCCCTGAGCCCCCCGGAACCCCCCGGTACCGCAGAAGGCCGTGGTGGCCAGGCGGCTCCGCTCCAGGGGCGGCGCCCACTTGCTCCAGATGCCGTGACAGGCGGGGTAGGTGACACCCTGCGGAAAGGGGCGGGGTCAGACGGGCCACACCCAACCACGGACACGCCCCCTGGACACGCCCACCCGGCCACACCCTGGCCACGCCCCAACCTCACCAGCAGAGCACCAAACCCCACCCGAAAACACCCCAAAAACACCTCAAGAACACCCCAAAAACACCTTAAAAACACCCCAAAAACACCTTAAGTACACCCCAAAATAAACACTCCTAAAACACCCTAAACCGGCCCAAAACAGCCCAGAAACACCTTAAAAACACCCGAAAATCACCACAAAATTTCCCAAAACAGCCCAGAGACACCTGAAAACCCCCAAAACCGCTCCTGCTCTGTCGAATGCCCATGAAACAGCCCAAAACCACCCCAACCCCCCCAGGCTTTCCGGATGATCTCCCCAAACACCCAAAACCGCCCGAAACGGCCCCAAAACCCGTGGCTGACCTCCACCAGCCCCTGCATGACGCGCACGGCGATGACGCAGCCGACGTGGGCGCGCGCGGCCGACGGGATCAGCATGTTCAGCACCGAGGTGGACACGATGGCCAACCCGAACACCCTGCCCAGGGGACACGAGGGTGACCACCACGCCCCAGGCTCACCTGTGGGCCGGCCACGCCCCCCGGGCTCACCTGTGGGCCCCCCCGGGCTCACCTGGGGACCCCCCGGGGCAGCGCTCACCTGTTGGCCGCGAACTTCTGTGCGATGAAGCCGCCGGGGATCTGCGTGACGATGTAGCCCCAGAAGAAGGAGCCGTGGATCATCCCCACCGTCTCGGGGTCCCAGTTGAACTGGGCGCGCTGGGGAGGCCGGGCAGGGGTCAGCGGGGTGGGGGACATGGGGGGGACACGCCCTGTCCAGGTGTGATCCCCCACACCTGCCAGTGTCCCCCACACCTGCAGGTACCCCAGAGCTGTGCCCCACCTGCGGTGACCCCACAGCTGTCCGGGGCCATGCTGCCCCTTTACCTGCCCAGGCCCATTAATTAATTATTAATTAATTAATTAACTTACCTGGAGACCATTAATGGTCTGTCCATGGGTAGGGTTGTACCTGCTGACCCTGTACCTGTTCCTCTGTCTCTGACCCCATATGTGACCCCGTACCTGACCCCACAGCTGACCCCTGACCCCGTACCTGTCCGTGGCTGGGGTTGACCCCATATCTGACCCCACAGCTGACCCCTGACCCGTACCTGTCCATGGCTGGAGCTGACCCCATAGCTGACCACACAGCTGACCCCTGACCCCGTACCTGACCCCTGACCCCGTACCTGCCCGTGGCTGGGGCTGACCATGCCGACCCCATACCTGACCCCACAGGTGAGCCATACCTGCCCGTGGCTGGGGCTGACCATGCTGACCCCATATCTGACCCCACAGGTGACCCCTGACCCCGTACCTGTCCGTGGCTGGGGCTGACCCCGCACCTGACCCCATACCTGACCCCTGACCCGTACCTGCCCATGGCTGGGGTTAACCATGCCGACCCCATACCTGACCCCACAGGTGAGCCGTACCTGTCCGTGGCTGGGGTTGACCCCGTACCTGCCCCCTGACCCCGTACCTGCCCATGGCTGGGGTTGACCCCATACCTGACCCCACAGGTGACCCCTGACCCCGTACCTGCCCGTGGCTGGGGTTGACCATGCTGACCACGGCCACGCCCAGGTTGCAGCGGATGCCGAAGCTGATGCAGAAGCCGATGCCGCAGAGGATGGCGATGCCGTAGCGCCGGGGCAGTCCGCAGAAGGTGCAGTCCAGCACCGGCGGCCGCGCCGCGCTCGGGCCCGCGCCCCCCGAGCTCAGCTCCAGCACCTCGGGGTCATCCTGCCGCCGCTCCAGGAACCTGCGGGGCCACCCCCCGTGTCCCCCGCTGTGTCCCCGTGTCCCCTGTCCCTCTGCCATATCCCCGTGTCCCCCCGCTGTGTCTCCATGTCCCCCCGCTGTGTCCCTGTGTCCCCCCGTCCCTCTGCCATGTCCCCCCGTGTCCCCCCGCTGTGTCCCTGTGTCCCCCCCGTGTCCTATCCCCCCTCGTGTCCCCATGTCCCCCCGTGTCCCTTTCCCCCCCCATGTCCCCGTGCCCCCCGTGTCCCCTCCGTGTCCCTTTCTGCCCCCCATGTCCCCATGTCCCTGTCACCCCCCCGTGTCCCCATGTCCCTTCCCCCCCCATGTCCCCATGTCCCCCCCCGTGTCCCCATGTCCCCATGTCCCCCCCATGTCATGTCCCTTCCCCCACCATGTTCCCGTGTCACCCCCATGTCCCTTTCCCCCCCCCCAATGTCCCCGTGTCCCCCCCCGTGTCCCCTCCGTGTCCCCGTGTCCCCCCCGCGCGCCGCTGGCCGCAGATTAAAGCCTCTTAAATCCCCCGTGGTGGCGGCGGCGCCGGGGAGGGGCCGAGGACAGGGACGGGGACACGCGTGGCACGGACACGAGTGGGCTCGTGGGGGGAGGGACACACCCGTGTGTGGGGGGCACCCGGAACCCCCCAAAACCCCCCCAAAACCCCCCAAAACCCCCCAAAACCCGACCCCAGATTCCCCCTGGGCTCTCGCTGTCCTCGCACAGGGGTGACGCAGCCACAGCCAACCCCGGTCCCGACCCCCCCCTCAACCCTGACCCCCCCATGTCCCCAGGACCCCCCAGTGCCCCCAATTTGGGGGTCTCACCTGTGCAGGCGGCCCAGCCCGGCCCCCAGCTGCCGCCGGAATTCCTCCTTGTTGAACTCCATGGCCCCGGGACCCCCGTGTGACACCTCTGTCCCCCTCGGGGACACCCGGGGGACACCCGGGGGGCAGCTGGGGGGTCCCCCCTCCCTCCCTCCCTCCCTCCCCGCAGCCCCCGACCCCTCCGCTGGCTCCGCTCGGCTCTCCGGGGCTCCGGGACAGCCCCCCCGGCCCCGGCTCAGCCCTAAATCCCCTCAATCCCCCCGGCGTGGGCCGAGCTGCGGGGGGGCCCCGGCCAATCCCACCGCGGGCTGCGCGTTTCGCTTTTATTGGGGGGTTTCGCACCAAAAAAGATGGGGGGTGTGTTGGGGGGGGTGTGGAGGGTGGGAAAAGGGGCCTGGGGGGAACAGGAGGGGACCGGGGGAGCCCCAAAGAGACCCCAGGAGGGTCCCAAAGGGGGTCCCTGAGAGGAAGTCCAGGACAGTCCTGAGCTGGGGGGTCCAGGAGGGCCCCAAGGAGACCCCAGGAGGGTCCCCGAGAGGAAGTCCAGGACGATCCTGAGCTGGGGGGTCCAGGAGGGTTCTGTGGGGATCCAGGAGGGTCCGGGGGGAGCCCCAAAGAGACCCCATGAACGTCCCCGAGAGGAAGTCCAGGATGGTCCTGAGCTGGGGGGTCCAGGAGGGTCCCAGGGGGCCCTAAGGAGACCCCAGGAGGGTCCCGAAGGGGGTCCCCACAGGGAAGTCCAGGATGATCCTGAGCTGGGGGGTCCAGGAGGGTCCCGGGTGTTCCTGGGGAGGGTCCCGGGTGTTCCTGGGGAGGGTCCCGGGTGATCCTGGTCGCCCTGGAGGGGTCCCACAGTGGGGCTGGGGGTCCCTGGCCCCTCACGCCCGCAGCGGCATCGTCACGGTGAGAACCTGCGGGGGGCGCCAGGCGCTGGGGGGACGTGTCCCGCGGCCATGGGTGGGGTGGGGGGCGTGGGGGGCATGGGGACGTGGGGGTGTCCCGGTGTCCCACCCCACGGCTGCCGCCCTTACCTTGGAGCGGCGGTGGAAGCGCGCGCGGCACCGCGCGGGGTCGGCGGGCAGCGGCAGCCCCAGCTCCAGCAGCGCCCCCCGCTGGCCGGGCAGACCCGCGGCGGCCTCGGCAGCGCCCCCCGGCGGCGGCGGGTGGAACAGCAGCAGCTGCTCCTCGCTCAGCCCCAGCCACAGAGACCCCGCCCCCTCCTGGGCGGGGCCGCGGTTAGGACACGCCCACCGCACCCCCAACCCCCCCTTGGGCTTTGGGGGACCCCTCGGTGTGTCCCCACCCCCCCCAGGGTGGTGAGAACCCCTCCCACCACAGCCCCCAGTGCCCCCCAGTGCCGTCCCAGCACAGTGGGACTGCCCCATCCACCCCCCAGTGACCCCTGAGCCTCCCAGTCTGCCCCCAGTGCCCCCCAAAATCACCCTGGAATCAGGGGAACCCCATAAGCCAACCGCAGCGCCCCCCAGTTCTCCCCAGTTGCCCCCCCATCGCTTCCCAGCTCTCCCCAGTTGCCTCCCAGTTCTCCCCAGTTGCCCCCCCAGCACCTCCCAGTTCCCCCAGTTGCCCCGCCATTAACTCCCAGTTCCCCCAGTTGCCCCCCAGCACCTCCCAGTTCCCCCAGTTGTCCCCAGCACCTCCCAGTTCCCCCAGTTGCCCCCCCAGTGTCTCCCCCAGTTGCCCCAGTTGCGCACTCACCACCTGGGGCAGGTGCACCCGGGCCTGCAGCACCTTTGGGTGCTGTGCTGAGGGCTCGGCCACCACCACGAACTCGGGGGGCTCCGGGGGGCTGCAGGGAGGCTCAGGTGAGGGCAGGAGGGCCCCGGGGATTTCGGGGAGGGGTCCCGGGGGTCCCCACTCACCCCGGGAGCTCCTGGATGTGGGGCCGGGGCCGGGTGCGGATGTTCTGGGCCGAGATGGAGCCCAGGAACTTTCGGTTCCGCAGCACGCGCCAGTCTGGGGGGGTGGGGGGTCACGGGTGGGGTCCAGTGCCTCCAGTGCCCCCCCAGTGCCCCCCCAGTGCCCCCCAGTGCCTCCCCAGTGCCCCCAGTGCCCCCCCAGTGCCCCCCAGTGCCTCCCAGTGCCCCCCCAGTGCCCCCCAGTGCCTCCCCAGTGCCCCCAGTGCCTCCCCAGTGCCCTCCCAGTGCCCCCCAGCTCCCTCCTAGTGCCCCCCCAGTGCCCCCCAGTCCCCTCCCAGTGCCTCCCAGTGCCCCCCCAGTCTCACCAGTGCCTCCCCAGTGCGCCCAGTGCCCCCAGTGCCCCCCCAGTGCCCCCCCAGTGCCTCCCCAGTGCCCCCAGTGCCTCCCCAGTGCCTCCCCAGTGCCCCCCAGTCCCTCCCAGTGCCCCCCCAGTGCCCCCCAGTGCCCCCCCAGTCCCCTCCCAGTGCCCCCCCAGTGCCCCCCAGTGCCCCCCAGTGCCCCCCCAGTGCCCCCCAGTGCCCCCCCAGTGCCCCCCAGTGCCCCCAGTCTCACCAGTCAGCTCCAGCTCCAGCCCGTACTTCTCCGACAGCCCCTCCATGGCCACGGTCAGGAAGAACTCGAGGTACAGCGGGTCAGCCTGGGGGGGCCGTGGGGTCAGAGCCCCCCAAGTGCCCCCCAGGTGCCCCCCGAGCCCCCCGAGCCCCCCCAGCCCCGCTGACCTGCAGCGTCCTGAAGAAATCCGAGTTGACCACGACGTCGTAGGCGGTGCAGCCACGGCCGCCTGCGGGGAGAGGGGAGAGGAGAGGGAGAGGGGAAAGGGGAGAGGGGAAAGGGGAGAGAAAGGGGAGAGGGGAAAGGGGAGAGGGAAAGGGAAAGGGAAAATGGGAAAGGGGAAAGGGAAAAGAGAAAAAGGGAAACAGAAAAGGGGAAAGGGGAAAGGAAAAAGGGGAAAGGGGAAAGGGAAAAGGGAAAAGGGAAAGGGGAAAGGGGAGAGGGGAAAGGGGAAAAGGAAACGGGAAAGGGGAAAGGGGAAAGGGGAAAGGGGAAAGGGGAGAGGGAAAGGGGAAAGGGAAAAGAGGAAAGGGCAGAGGGGAAAGGGGAAAAGGGAAATGGGGAAAGGGAGAAAGAGATACTGAAAAGGGAAAGGAAAGGGAAAAGGGAAACTGGGAAAGGGAAAAGGAAAGGGAAAGGGAAAAGGAAAAGGAAAAGGAAAAGGAAAAGGAAAAGGAAAAGGAAAAGGAAAGGAAAGAAAAGGGGGAAAAGCGCAAAAGCAAAAGCAGTCCCGTGCCGGTGCTGGGCTCTCACCTCGGTCCAGCTCGGCGTGCGGCTCCCCCAGGCTCATGGGGATGCGGAAGGCGCCGTCAGGCCCGGGCGGCTCCCGCAGGAGCTGCTGCAGCCCCGGGGGCGGCACGGGCGGCGGCGGCGGCACCGCGGGCGAGTGGCACACGTTCAGGAACACCTTGTGTCCCCCGGCGCGGGTCTTCACGCACAGCCCTGGGAGCACGGCGGCAGTCAGGGGCGGCGGGGACCCCCAGAATCCGCCGGGGACCCCCCAAAATCCACCGGGGGCGGCGGGGACCCCCCCCAAAATCCGCCGTACCCGGCTGCGGCGTCACCGCCCGGGCGGGGCCGGGGCGCGGGGGCTCCTCACGGTCCGCGGGCACCTGCGGGGAGGAGAAGCGGCTCAGAACCGGCACCGGGAGCGGCTCAGAACCGGTACCGGGAGCGGCTCAGAACCGGCACCGGCAGCGGGACCCACCTGCAGCAGCAGCCGCCGCAGCGCCGCCGCCTCCTCCTCCTCGTCCGCCTCCAGCTCGGCCGAGAGCAGCGACGGGTCCGACATGGCCTGAGGGGAGCGGGGTGGCACCGGGGGATGGACCGGGACGGAGCGGGATACCGGACAGGGAACGCCCCGGGACCCCCAAACCCTTCCGGAGGCCCCCAAAAAACCCTCGGGACCCCCAAACCCTTCCGGAGACCCCCAAAAACCCCTCGGGACCCCCAAACCCGAACCCTCCGTCCCGTTCGGGCGCCCTCACCGCTCCTCCACCGCCCGTCACTTCCGCTTCCGGCGGCGCCGTCGCCATGGTTACCGGAAGACGCTCTGGCCACTTCCGCCCCGTCTCGGTGGTTTTGGGGCCGCTCTGGCCCGTCCCGCCCCGTCTCGGTGGTTCCTCGGCGGCCATGGCGGCTCTGGCGGCGCTCGGGGCTCCCCCGGTCCCCGAAATCTTCGCCACGATGGAGGAAGGGCCGGTCCCCGGAGAGATCAACGCGGGAGAGGTGAGGGCGGATCTGGGGGGTCCCTCCGGGTGGGTTCTGGGGGTCCCGGGGGTTTCCTGGGGGGTCCTGGGGGGTCCTGGGGGGCACTGGAGTGGTCACTGGAGTGGTCACTGGGGAGCCCCGGGTTCCGTGGGGTGTCCCAAGGTCATTTGGGGGGTGGGAGAGGCACTGCTGGGGCAGGGGGTGCCGAACCCCAAACCCTGACCCTGACCCCTGATCCTGAACCCTTACCCCGAACCCTGACCCTGGCCCTGACCCCAAACCCTGACCCCAAACCCTGACCCCAAACCCTGCCCCCTGACCCCAAACCTTGACCCTGGCCCTGACCCCTGACCCCTGCCCTGCCCCCAGGCGTGGCTGCAGTCCCACGGCCGCAGCCTCGGACACTTTGTGGCCGGATCGTGGCTGAAGCCACCGGGGAGGGTCAGTCTGACCTGTCCGGAGAGCAGCACCGGTACGGCAGGGCAGGGGTTAAAGGTCATGGCTGCGGGTTTGGGGTCACTGGGGCAGGGCTGGGGTCAAAGGGCACGGCTGCGGGTTTGGGGTCACCGGGGCAGGGCTGGGGTTAAAGGGCACGGCTGTGGATTTGGGGTCACTGGGCCAGGGTCAGGGACTGGGGTCAGTGTTTGGGGTCCAGGTTTGGGGTCAGTGTTTGGGGGTCAGGGTCAGGGATCAGGGTTTGGGTCAGTATTTGGGGTCAGGGTCCGGGTTCGGGGTCAGGGTTTGGGGTCAGGATCAGGGCTCGGGGTCAGTGTTTTAGGTCAGGGTCCGGATTAGGGGTCAGGATCAGGGTCAGTGTTCGGGGTCAGGATCAGGGTTTGGGGTCAGGGTTTGGGGTCAGGGTTTGGGGTCAGGGGTTGGGGTCAGGATCAGGGGTCAGGATCAGGGGTCAGTGTCCAGGTGTCCAGCCCTGCCCTCCCTCCCCGTAGGCCGGCCGCTGGCCGCAGTACCGGCCGGGGACCGCTCGGACGTGGCCGTGGCCGTGGCGGCGGCGGCGGCGGCGGCCGAGGCCTGGGCGGGGCTGGGGGGGCCCCAGCGGGGACAGCGCCTGACCCGGTGAGTGACCCCTGACCCCGGTGACCTTTGACCTGCCCCTGTTCCCTCCCACTCCCACCACCCCCGGTGTTACCTTGTTTTTTTTAAGTTTTGTTTTGTAATTCTTCTGAAAGCCTTAGAGGTTTGTAAAAGCTTTTCAACTTTCTGATCTGTTTACGGATTTCTACTGGAGTTCCCAGCCACTGTTGTGTAAATAATAACTGTTTTACGTTCCTCTTTGTGAGGAATTATATATATTAACATATATATATAATATATTTGTTATGTATATTATATATATATAATAGATATATTATATATATATGTAGTATACATAATATATGTAATTTATATATTATATATATATGTATACACAATATATATACAATATATATTAACAAATATGTATAATATATATAGTGTATATATTAACAGATTAATAAACTGTTAGTTTAACGGGGTATGTAAAAAAACAGCAATTCCACCCTCCAATCCACAGCCCCCCCTGGGATTCCACAAATAAATACCCAAAGGAAACAGTCTCATTTTTACCCTTTAAACTCACCAAATGTTGTTGAACTTTGAGTCCCAAACCCCTCGTCGCTGCCCCGATGATGTCCCCTCTGTCCCCTCTGTCCCCCGATGTCCCCCCCGATGATGTCCCCTGTGTCCCCCCCAGGCTGGCGGCCGCGCTGGCCGGTGAGCGCCGCGGGGCCGTGGGGGCCCTGCTGGCTCTGGCTGGGGGGCGGCCGCTCTGCCGGACGCTCGGGGCCGACCTGGACGTGGCGCTGCGGCTGCTGCGGGCGCCGGCGGCCGCGGCCGAGCTCGGCCCACCCGGCCTGGAGGGCTGGAGCCCGCTGGGTGAGCGGCCTGTGTGACCCCTGACCCCCATCTGTCCCCTCCCTGTGACCCCTGACCCCCGTGTGTCCCCTCCCCATGACCCCTGACCCCCGTCTGTCCCCCAGGGGTGGTGGCTGTGACCCCTGACCCCTGTGTGTCCCCTCCCCGTGGCCCCTGACCCCCATCTGTCCCCCAGGGGTGGTGGCCGTGGTCCTGGGGGGTCCCTGCTCGCTGCTGGCGCTGCTCTGGAAGTTGGGGCCGCTCCTGGCCATGGGTGAGTGCACAGGGGGGACACCTGGGGACACCTGGGGCCACTTGGGGACACTTGGGGACACCTGGGGACACCTGGAGACATTGGGGACACTGGGGACAGCCGGCCGTGCAAGGAACGAGGGGCAGAGCCAGGGGACAAAGGTGGATCCAGGTGTGGGGGGCTCCCCAATGTCCCTGTGGGGTGTCCCAGCAGTTTTGGGAACTCCCAGCGGTTTTGGGGTGTCCCTTTGGGGGTCCCAGCAGTTTTGGGGTGTCACTTTGGGTAGTCCCAGCAGTTTTGGGGTGTTCCTGTGGGGGTCCCAGCAGTTTTGGGGTGTCCCAGCAGTTTTGGGGTGTCCCTTTGGGTACTCCCAGCACTTTTGGGGTGTCCCAGCAGTTTTGGGGTGTCCCAGCAGTTTTGGGGTGTCCCTTTGGGGGGTCCCAGCGGTTTTGGGGTGTCCCAGCAGTTTTGGGGTGCCCCAGGGAACACGGCCGTGGTGCTGTGCCCGGCGGCCGCGGCGCCGCCGCTGCTGCTGCTGGCGGAGCTGAGTGGGGAGGGGGCTGCGCTGCCCCCCGGGGTCCTCAACGTCCTCGTGGGACCCCCAGAGCTGCGCCCGGCCCTGCGCGCCCACCCCGAAATCGCCTCTGTCACTTTCCTCGGGCTGCCCCAGGTATGGCCGCGCCCCACAGCGGGGGGAGCTGAGCCGCGGCTCCTCTCGCCCCCCTCCCCAATTCGGGGGTCCCCACGCGGCTCTGTGCCCCCAGGAGGAGCTGCCGGCCCTGGTTTGGGGGTCCCCGTGCCGGGGGCCGCGCCTGGGGGGTCCCCGGGGCGGCCGAGTCGTCGTCGTCGTGTTGGACTCGGCCGACCTGGACAGCGCCGCCGCCGCCCTCGCCGCCAGCGCCGCCGCGCCCCCCGCCCTGGTGGGGTCTGGGGGGGTTTGGGGGGCTTTGGGGGGTTTTGGGGGGCTTTGGGGGGTTTTCAACTCTTTCTTGGGGGAGTTCTCAGGGGTTTTTGTGGAGGTTTGGCTGTTTCTCAGGGTTTTTTTTGGGGGGGCCATTAGGGGAGGTTGCAGGTTTTTTTCTTTTGGCAGGTTTTTGGGGGGTTTTGGGGGGTTTTCAGGTCTTTCTTGGGGGAGGTCTCAGGGGTTTTGTGGAGGTTTGGCTGTTTCTCTGGGTTTTTTTTTGGGAGGGCCATTTGGGGAGGTTTCAGGTGTTATTTTTTCGGCAGGTTTTGGGGGGGGTTTTCGGGAGTTTCCCTTGGGGGGTGTCTCGGTTTTTCGGGGGGTCCCTGACGCCCCGTGTGCCTCCTGCGTGTCCCCAGTTCCCGGTCGGGGGGTGCGTGGTGCTGGCGCAGGACGCGGTGGCGGCGGCGCTGGAGCGGCGGCTCCGGGCCCGGCTCGGGGGGCTGCGGCTCGGGGACCCCACGGACCCCACAACGGAGGTGGGGCCGCTGCCCCCCGGCACCTGCCTGCCCGAGGAGGTGGTGCAGGAGGCGCTGCAGGAGGGGGCTCAGGTGAGGGACGCGCAAAGGGGGACAGGGTGGGGTGGCTGTGGGGACATCAGGGTGGCACAGAAGGGTTGGGAGGGTGGGGAGGGTGTTTGGGGTCGAGGTTGAGACTTCCTGGACATCGGGGTCTTCTGGGATGAAATCCGGAGGTTCCTGGACTTGGGGGTGTCCTGGGATGAAATCCAGAGGTTCCTGGACATGGGGGTCTCCTGGGATGAAATGTTCCTGGACATGGGGGTTCCTGGGGTGGGTGTGGGTGCTCCTGGATGTTGGGGGGACCGGCTGTGGGTCAGCGTGGGGATGCCCTGGGTGGCACCCTGAGGGTCCCCGCCTTGTTGGGACCCCCGTTCTTTCCCGCCCAGGTTTTCCAGGTGCCGCTGCCGCCGGAGCGGGGGCATCGCTTCTACCCCCCCACACTGATCTCGGGGGTGGCCCCGACCTCGCGCTGCCTGCGGGACCCGGTGGGTGCCCCGGGGCGCCCTGGGGTGGGGGGGTGCCACTTTTGGGGCTGCTCTGAGCGCGTCCTGCCCCACAGACCCCTGGGCCGCTGCTGGTGCTGCTGTCCATGCGCAGCCCCACGGAGGCCGTGGCCGTGGCCTCGGCGCTGCCCCACACCGCCGCCGCCGCCGTCTGGGCCCAGGACATCACCGTGGCCTTGGACACGGTGGACAGGTGACCGCCAGCCCCCCGCCCTGAGCCCCGAGCCCCGGAGTGACCGCTGGGCGCTGGGTGCTGACCACCGGCCCCTCTCCAGGCTGCCCCAGGGGCTGGTGTGGCTCAACGCCCTGGACCTGCTGGACCCCAGCGGGGGCTGCGCCGGGGGGGCCGTGGACACTGACCTGGATGAGGTGGGGGCTGCCAAGGGGGGGCTCTGCTGGGAGTCCTGCGTGGTTTGGGAGGGGTCCAGGGGGGTCGGGGGTGTCCTGGGGAAGCTGGAGGGACGTGGAGGTCTCCTGGGGTGGGTTCTGAGTTTTTCAGGGGGGAGTGTGGTGGGTTTTGGGGTTCCTCGGGGAGGGGGGTGTCCTGTGCTGTTGCAGATGGGCTCTGCCCCCCCCCGCACTCCCTCCAGGCGCTGCGAGAATTCGGGTGCCCCCCCTGGGAACAGCCCCCCAAGGTGGATGAGCTGCTCAGGTACCCCCTGATGGGACAGGGACCCCTCCCCAGGATGGAGACTCCAAATTAGGGGGTCCCAGGACAAGAACTCCGAGACCGGGTTCCCAATGGAACACCCCCAGGACCCCCTTCTTCCCCCCCGGGGTGCTCCCAGCCCCATCCTGTCCCCCCAGAGGGTCCCGTGCACCCCTCAGGACCCCGATTCTCCCTCTCAAAGGGGTCCCGGCGCCCCTCCCACAGCGATGCCCTTTGATCCCCTCTCTCCCGTCCCTGTCGCAGCCCACTGGTGACCGTGGATGACCCCGGTGACCCCGAGCTGGCTCACGCCGTGGCCGCCGCCCGTGGGGCCGCCCCGGGGTGAGTGCGAGGGTGGGTGGGCGCCCCTCCAGGGGCGTCCCCCGACCCCCCCTGGGAGGAGGCGTCGTTCCCCAACGCCCTCGGTCCCGCAGGTGGGGGCGGCTGCCGGGAGCGGCGCGGGCCCGGGCGCTGCGGGGCGCGGCGGCGGCGCTGGCGGAGACCCCCGGGACCCCCGGGAACGGCGGCGGCGCGCACGGTGACCTGCGGGGGGCGCTGCTGCGCTGGGCGGCGCGCCTGGAGCGCGGGGGCGGGGCCATACAGGTGGGCGTGGCTAAGGGGCGGGCGGGACAATTAGGGGGCGTGGCCTCTGATAGGCGTGGCCAATCCCGCTGCAGGACGTGCCCGGGGGGCGGGCGCTGCTGGCCAGGCGCCCGCTCGGAGTGGTGGGCGTGGCCTGGGGCTGGCCACGCCCACTGGCGCCGCAGCTCCTCCTCCCGCCGCTCGCGCTCGGCAACGCCGTGGTGGTCGTGGCGCCGCCTGGCGGCGACGGGCCCGCACAGCAGCTACGGAAGGTGCGAAACGCGGGACCCCCCCCGCCCCCCCGGTGACCCCTGTGACCCCCCCCATGTCCCCCGTCCCTCCCGCGCGACCCCCGGGAGCCCGCATATATCCTCCCGGGACCTCCCATGTGCCCCCTGTGCCCCTTCATGCGCCCCCCGAAACCCTCCAGGACACCCCACGTCCCCTTCCTTCACCGCAGGACGCCTCCCCCGCTCGGTGACACTCCCCCCCTTCCCCTGTGTCCCACCGCTCGGTGACACTCCCCCCTTCCCCCGTGTCCCCAGGCTCTGGAGGCCGCCGGGCTTCCGGGGGGTGTCCTGACGGTGCTTCCCGGGAATTCCTGGGGCTCCGGATCTGGCCTGGCGCGACATCGCCCGGACGGGCTGTGGCTGTGCGGGGGGGACGCGGTGAGTGGAGGGGCACTGCGGGGCAGAGTGTGGGGACGCGGGGGGACAGTGGAGGGCACGCCGGGGAAGGAGGGTTGGCACTGGTGACGTTCTGGGCATCTCAAGCCGTGCCACGGCTGCTGTGGTGGGGATTTGGGGTGCGGGGGACGTCACCCCAGCTCTCCCCATCTGGCCCCTCTTATGTCCGTCCACCCAGGACTGCGACTGGGCCTCTGCCGTGAGCGTCCCCCGCGTTTGGGGGGTCCCGGCGGGACTCGTGGGGGCTCCGGGGCAGGACCCTCCCCCGGGCGCCGAGCGGGAGCTGGAGCTGCGCTGCACTCGCCCCCACTGCCTTTGGCTTCCGGGGGGCGCTCCCTGAGACGCCCCCCAGAGCCCCCCGGACCTGCGGGGATTTCAGACCTCACACTGTGCCCCCAGCCCCGCGACCCCCACCCCAATAAACCGCTCCGAGCCGCAGCCGCTGTCACGTTTCTGTTTTGCGGGGGACCGGGTTGGTCTCAGGCTGGAGTGGGGAGAGGGGGGGGGATGTTTTGGGGGTGCCCCGCCCCGCACGTGCCCGGACGCCCCGGCCCCCCTCCCACGCTGGGGCTGCCGCGCCCAAAGCTCTGCGGGGCAGGGCGGGGGGTCCCGGGCGCCGGAGCTCCCGTGGGATCAGAGGGAGAGTCCCCGGGGTGAGGAAGGGGCGGCCCGGGGTCCGCGGCGTGGGAGGGGGAGGCTCGGGACGTCCCGCTGCCCTCTCGGGTTTCCTGGGCCCCCTTCCCGGCTCGGTCCCACTTTCACTTTCGGCGGCGGCTCCGCCGCGGCCCGAGGGGTCCCGGGGGAGGCTCCGGGAGCGCTCGCGGGTCCCGGTGCGCCGTCCCCGGCTCCGCACCGCGATGGACTTGCCCCCCCTCCGCTCTGCTCTGGTAAGTGGGGACCCCCTCCCCCCGCCCCGCAATGTGACCTGCGCCCCTCTGGGACCCCCGCGAGAGCCCCTTGGGACGTCCAGAGCCCCCCCCGGTGACCCCCAGGTGCCGCTCCTGCTCCTCCTGGCCGTGCCCACCCCCAGCATCTGCTGCTCCTTCGGCTTTAACCCCATCAGCAGCACCTTCAGCACCCACCTGAACAACCTGGTGAGACAGACCCCCGTCCCCAGGACACCCTCCCGCGCACCCCAGTACGCCCCCCGACCTCCGGGATCCTCACGGGACCTCCCGGATCCCCCTGAGACCCAAAAGATTCCCCTGCGCCTCCCTCCCCCTTCCCCCGAACTCCCTCATTCCCCAGGGAAGGCCCCGCCCTGGGTCCCGAAAACACCCTGACCGCACCCCTTCACCCCCAAAGGGTCGTTGGGGACGCCCTGAGCGCCCCCCTCAGCCCTCTGGGCTGCTTTTGGGGACCCCCTGACCCCTCCCACAGACCCCCTGGCTGCTCCTCGACTACCCTGTGGCGATGCCCAGCAACCTGGAGCCGGTGAGCGAGAATGCCCCGAATCCCATGTGTGCTCCCCCAAATCCCTCTCTGTTCCTGCACCCCCGGACACCTCTGACCCCTGACCCCCGTCCCTCCAAACCCTGAACTGCCCTGGCCTCCCCAGGACAGCGTCTGCTCCGATCTCTGGGGGCTTCACTTTGGGGCACTGGCGCTGCAGCGAATGTTGGGGGTGGCGGGGAAGGATTTGGCCCCCCTGCTCAGGAACCTCCTTGCCCAGCTCCACTTCGTGGCCGAGTGTCACATCCAGGTGGGTGGGGGTCCCCGGGGGGCTCCGGGGGTCCTGGAAGGAAGGAGGGGGGGTTGGGAGGCTCAGTGTGCGCCGTTACGGGGCGGTCCTGGGGTGGCCAAGGTGAGTCTGGGGGCCTGAGGGGCTCTGGGGACCCCACAGGGGTCCGGGGGTCCCCTGAGGTGTCCAGGGTAACTCCGGGAGCCTTGGGGGGGTGCAGGAGCTCTGGGGCATTCCTGGGATTTCCCAGGGTGGTTCAGAAGGGGTCTGGGTCCCCCGGGGGGGCTCCTACAACATCTCCCCAGGACCCCCAGCGCTGTGTCCGGCTGGAGATGGTGAACGTGTCGCAGCTACTGGAGACGCTCGTGCAGCACCTGGGGGGGCTGCAAGGGAGACCCCTCCACTTCCCCGGCTGTGCCCGCTTGCGCTGCCACCCAGGTACCCCCCGGGACCCCCGAGAGACCCCCGTAACCCCCCTGGGGCAGCTGCTGACCCCTGTCTCCCCCCAGGCCCGGCGCTGACCAGCCCAGCAGTGCGGCACGAGGGGCTCTTGGGGGCCAAGCAGGGACCCCCCAGCCCTGCTGGACATGGGCTGGTGCTGCTGGGGGGAGTTGGGGTGGCCTTGGGCTTGGTGGCGGTGGGGTGGGTACTGTGGAGGAGACCCTGTGCCCAGGTGGGGACACCGGGGGCACTGAGGGGCACTGGGGACACCGGGGAGGATGGCGTTCCTGGGGACGCGGCGGGTGGTGAGGGCACGAGGGGCACTGGTGGTGGTGTGTGCACTGGGGACACTGTGGATGCTGGCTGTCGTGGGGACCTTGGGAGCACTGGGGGCTGTTGTGGGGACACTGGGAGCACTGGGGGCTGTCTTGGGGTCACTGGGAGGAGGACTGACAACACTGGGAGCACGAGGGAGCGCTGGGAGGTCATTCCCCTCAGCCCCCCCCAGCCCTCACAGGGACCCCCGACATGGGAGCAGGACGGGACCTGAGTGGCCGAGTGGTACTTGGGGACAGACACAGGTACTGGGAGGGCTCCTGGATACTGGTACCACTGGGAATATCCTGAGGGGGGCCAGGAGAGGCCCCTGGATCAGCAGGTCCTCACCCTCTGCCCCTGCCCAGGCTGGCCTGAGCCACTGGTGAGAGATGGGGACCCCCCAGTTCCCTGCTGGAAGCCCTCGGGAGCTACACTGGGATCTCCCAGAGCGACGGAGAGACGAGGGGGCCCAGCCTGGCCCCGTGCAGTGCCCATAAAGCTGATGTTGACACCCTGACTCTGACCCTGCTCTGGGCGGACTGGACGAGTGTTTGGGGCAACTGGTCAAGAAGTGGGGTGGACACAGCAGTGTGCAACTGGCCTTTACTGGGGGTCTCACAGGGGTGGGGGGCTCCGGTAGTGCAGCTGGAGCTGGGGCCACTGGCAGGGCCAGAGGTAGAGCAGGGCCAGCAGTGCCAGCAGCGCCAGAGCCCACGGTGACAGCACTGTCCACGGTGACAATGGTGCCTGTGGGGCCACTGCCTTGGTCACCTCCTCACTGCTCCACAGCAGGGCTCCTCCTCCTGACAGCGCCGTCCCTCTGTCCTCCTCCTCCTCCTCCTCCTCGTTGTCCGCTGTCTCCTGGGCAGAGCCTCTGGGTCAGTGGCTGAGGGGACCCTGCAGGGTCCCCCCTGACCCCACTCTCACCCGGCTGACCGCCGCCGTGGCCTGGATGTCCGTCTGGCTGCCCGGGCACCACGGGCGCCTGTGGAAGGCAGAGGAGGGTGAGGATGCTGAGGTGAGGACTCCGGAGCATCCTGAGGATGTCCCCTGCCCACGTGTCCCCCACGTACATGGCCCAGGCGTCCCGCATCTGGCCCATCTGCTGCCGCAGCTGCGTCATCTCCAGACGCAATTCCTGGGGGGGAGAAGGGATTGTCACCCTCGGCCCTTCATAGAGTGTGGCCACCGTGGGGCTTTGCTGTGGCCGCTGTCTGGGCTCACACCGAGGCCGGACGTGCTGTACCTGCACCATCCGCTTGTACTCCTCCAGTGCTGTTGTTAGCTCCTGTGCCCGCTGCCCTGCCTGTGGGACAGGGCCTGGACATGAGGGGCCGTGGGAGAGGGCTGGGGGTGGCCCTGCTGACAGCTGAGGTGGTGCCAGTGTCACCGGGCAGCGCTCACCTGGGCAAGGGCTGCATCCCGGGCAGACAGCAGGGCAGTGCAACGGCAGAGCTGGTCCTGGGCAGAGGGATGTGGATGTCACTGGCTAACACAGCCCCCAGCACTGCCCACCACCGCCACTGTGCCACCGCTCACCTCCAGGCTGGCCGTCCGAGCCGCCTGCGCCTGGATCTGCTCCCGCAGTCCCTGGCCCTCGGCGAGGAGCCGCTGGTTCTGCCAGGGGTGAGAAGGGCTGGGGTTCCCTGTGGTACTGCCCTGCTGGGGCAGCCCCCAGTGCCAGGCTGACCTCCTCCTGTAGGCACTCGGCCTGCGAGCACAGACTGCGCTGCTCCTTCTCCTGGGGAGGGCATGGCCGTGAGGGGACACGTGTGGCACCACAGGACACTACGTGGCACCTCAGCTTAGCCTCTCACCGCGTGCCGTGCCTGCCTCCGGAGCTCGGTGTTCTCCTCCTCAAGCTGCTTCACCACGGCCTTCACGTCGTCCAGCTCATCGACAGCCGCCCTGGCATGCTCCAGTGCCTGCCGGCTGCTGCCAGGACCAAACAAACGGCGCTTCAGCGTTCCCTGGATGCTGATCCAGATCCCATGCCCGGGAGCCCCTCGGGAGCACCTTCGCAGCTGCGTCTGGAGCTCTGCAATCTCCTCGGCCAGGCGGGCGTTGAGCTCCTCGGCCAGCTCCACATCCCGCTGCAGTTTGGCGTTCTGGGCTGCCAGTTGCCGGGCACGGCTCCGCAGCCCCGCGGCCTCAGCGCTGCTGGGGAGTCCCACCGGTCCTGGGGTGCTCCAGGGAGCACAGCCAGGGATGGTGGGGTGTCCCCACAGGAGACACTTACGGGGTGGTGACGTCCATGTTGTCACCCTGGAGCTGGGCAGCTGCTGGGGTCGTGTGTCCGTCATCCTCTGCGGGATGAGACACAGCAGGCTGCGTTGGCATCCCCATCGGGGCCACCCCGACTCCCTTTTCCTGTGCCAACGCCCACCTGCTGGCCCTGGACCAGTGTCACCAGTTGCCACGTCCTGTTCCTCGGCCCTGTATGGATGGAGCCGTGGGTCAGCATCCCTGAGGGGTCCAGCTCTGGAGCCCTGGGTCAGCATCCCTGAGGGGTCCAGCTCTGGAGCCGTGGGTCAGCATCCCTGAGGGGTCCAGCTCTGGAGCCGTGGGTCAGCATCCCTGAGGGGTCCAGCTCTGGAGCCGTGGGTCAGCATCCCTGAGGGGTCCAGCTCTGGTGGTGCTGCCCCTGTCTCTCGGCACTGACCCATCCTGCCGGCACGCCGCGATCCAGGCGCCCATGGCCGTGCGGAACCGGGCCCAGTCCAGCGCCGTGCCCGCGGCCGCAGGGTCCAGCGCCCGCCGCAGCGCCTGCAGCCGCCCATCGTGCCCGCTGTGCCCGGTCATCGCTGCCACGTACTCCACCACCTGCTGCGGCCGCACCATCCCTGCGGCACACGGAGCCCTCAGGGAGCCCTCGGGGAGCCCTCGGGGACCGCGGTGCCCATCTCGGCTGCGGCCACCAGGGCCCCAGGGGCTTTGGCTACCTGTCCGCTCGGGGTCGCAGGCAGCGAAGGTGCAGTCCAGGGCGAACTCGTCCGAGCAGCCGCTCTCGGCAGGGGCTGAGGGGGGACATGGGGTTATGGAGGGGCCCAGCGCCTCACCCCCTGCCCTGCTCCCTCATGGCCCCCGCACCTGGCAGCGGGATGACGGCGCCCGGGGCGCAGGGAACTCCTGCAGCCATGGTGTTCGGGGGCGTTCCGGGCACGGCCGCGGTTTCTGGGGGTTTCTGGGGGTTTCTTTCTGGGGGGGAGTCCCCGGAGCGTCGCGGGGCTGAGGGGGCGGCGGGAATCGCCTCAGGGCGGAGGGAGGGGCGGGGCCTCGCGCGCGCCGTTCCCGCCCAGAGGAAAGGGGGCGTGGCTCCGCCGCCCCACGCGGGACGCGCGTTCCCGCTTCGCTCCCGGTGGCGTCGCCGTTCCGCTGCTTCCCAACGGGCTTTTATTGAAGGACAAACACCTCCGCGCTTCCCCCCACACCACCCCGGCCCCCTCAGAGCCCCCGCAGCAGCTTCTCGTAGTGGGAGTCCAGGTTCCGGAGCAGGAACATCGACAGCATGAGCAGGGCCAGCTGGGAGCAGAGAGCAGGATCAGCCCTCCCGGACCCCTCGGATCCCTGACCCCCCTCCCGGCCACCCACAACCCCCACGGACCCTTCTGATCCCCCTGAATCCCCACCAAGGCCCTGGCTCCCCACGGGCCATCCCCTGAACCCTCCTTGCCCCGCTCCCAGCTGCTGCCCAGCGCACCCAAGCTATGGTCCTACAGCCATCCGACCACCCCTGGGCCCCCCCAGCTCAGCCCCCGGCCCCAGGGTATTCCCCCTACCTCCCCCAGGGCGATGCCTATGCAAACCCCCACGATGGTAACCAGGTTTCCGGCCAGCCAGCTCTGGACTCCCTCCTTGCAGCCCTAGGGTGACAACTGGGGGTCACTTGGAGCCCCCTCCGCAGCTCCAGGACCCCCCGATTCCCCCGTGCCTCACCCTGGGGAAGATGTCCTGGGGGGCAGCCGTGGGGCAGCGGCCATGGGGGAGCATCCATGGGGTCTTGTGGGTGCTGTTGGGTGCCCTGAGGCAGGAGCAGGCGATGGCCCTGTCCCTGTCCATGTCCCTGGTGGGGTCATCGTGGTGGTCCCAGTCCTGGGGTCCTTTCCAGCCACAGCAGCTGAGCTGGGGGGACAGGGGCTCAGTGTGGTGGCCATGGGATGGCTCTGGGGTCTTTTTGGGGGGGGTCTCACCTGCTGCTGGACAGCGTCCCAGCTCTCGTGGGGGTCCCCAGGTGGTCCCTGGGCTGGGTACCCCCAGATCAGCTCCTCGGCATAGGTGGCCACTTTTGTAGCCAGCTGGGGAGAGGGATCGGCACAGCATTGCCCCACGACCCCAGGGTCCCCCCCAACCCCGGGGTCCCCCCAGCCCCCGGTTCTCCCCGGCACTCACGGCACTGCGCTGCGTGTAGACGATGATAGCCACCGTGATCTGGGCAGCGAAAAGCAGCAGCAGGAGCCCAAAATACTTTCGGGATAAACAGGGAAGGTGGGGGTCAGCCAGACCTTCCCCCCCAGGCCCTCCCCAGCGCCAGGAGAGCTCAGAGGGGTCCCCCACTCCCCGCTGCTGCTCCCCAGATGCAGGATGTGGTGGCACCACGTGGCCCCGCGGTTGCCCCAGGAAGTTGCAGCACAGCTACCCCAGCCCCCTCCCAGTTCCGTGACCCCTCCCGACCCCCCCAGACCCCCAGCTCACCAGCCCCAGCATGACCTTGACCTCCTTGAGGGCTCCCAGGCACCCCAAGAATCCCAGGAGCATGGTGACGATGCCGACCCCAGAGAAGCCATAAGACCAGACCCTCAGGCTGACCAGCGGTGACCCTGGGGGACACGGTGGGGGGGTCAGGGAGCCTCCCACCCGGGGTGCCACACATCTTGGGGTACCCCACGCTGTGGGGGTCCCTTACCCAGTACGGCGGCGAAGCTCTGCCGGTCGAAGAGGACCCAAAAGCTGAAGGCGAGGAGGAGGATGCCCAGGAACTGGGGGGGCCGGGGGGAGCCCAGGTCAGGAAACGGGGGACGCCCAGTGCCCAAATACACTGGGAAATCGTTGCCCCCACCCACCCGGGTCCCCTCAGCCCCAGGTTCCCCCATCTCCCCGTGTCCCCCAAGTTCCCCCAGTGTCCCGCATCTCCCCTCTGCCCTCCCAGGCTCCACTTCCCCGCTGTCCCCCCTGCCCCCCAAGTTCCCCCCAGCCTCACTCACGAAGAAGAAGAGGTTGAGGAGGAAGAGGAAGCACTTGGTGCAGCCGAGGCAGCTTTTGGGGCTCATGTCTGCACGGGGGTCACAAACGCACGGACCCAGAGCCCACCCCGAGCCCCAACCGCCCCCCACGCCCCCGGTACCCCCCGATCCTCCCGCCCCGTCCGCCACCGGCGCCGCCGCCTCGGGCCCCGCAGGAGGGGCCGGAAGCGCCGCGGGGGCGTCGCCCCGGGGCTCCCCCGGACACCGGGGGCCGTGACCGGCGGTGGGACCCCCGGGAGTGGGGGGGGTGACCCGCGGGAAGGGCGGGAAAGGGGGGGGGTCCCGGGGGGCTGCGGGGTCGAGAGCACGGGGGGCGTGGCCGAGAGCACGAGGGGCGTGACCGAGAGCACGGGGGCGTGGCCGAGAGCACGGGGGGCGTGGAGATGGGCGTGGTTTCCCCTCCGCCCCTCCCGCGCGCGCTCCACCGCCCCGGTCACGTGACGGGAGCGGCCCGCCCCGCCGCCGGTGTCACGTGACGCCGCCGGTGACCACGTGTTCGGGGCGCGATGGCGGCGGCGGCGGCTTCGGCCCAGCGGGGCGGCGGCGGCGGCGGCGGTGGCGGCGATCCCGGAGCCGATCCCGGAGCCGGGGCCGCCGGCGGCGAGCCCGCCCCGCCCCCGGGGGGCGGCGGTGAGTGGGGGGATTGGCGGGAGCCGCGGAGGGGCGCGGCCGGTACGGGCCGGGGGAGGCGGCGGCGGTCGGTGGCCGCTGCTCCCCGGTAAGCGGCCCGCTGTCCGCAGGGGCCTCCTCGGACCAGATCATGCAGACGGGGGCGATCTTGCTGCGGGCGTGAGTAGAGGCGGGAGCGGCGGGAGAACGGGCGGGGCTGGCGGGGGGACAAGGGACGACTGACGGGGCACGGAGTGCGGGGGACCTTGGGACTGGGAGGGGACTGGGGGGACACGGGGTGCGGGACAGCGATGGGGGACTTGGGGGACAAGGGGGGACACGGTGCGGGGGGCACTGAGGGTGCTGGGGGAAGGTGGGGGGACTTGGGGGACACGAGGTCCAGCGGCACTCGGGACTGCGGGACGGACGTGGGGTGCGGAGGGGACTGGAGAGGGCACGAGAGTGTGCGTGGGGACAGGGGACTTGGGGTGAACTGGGGAGATTTGGGGGGATCAGGGGACTTGGGGGTGCAGGGGGACGAGGGGGCGCTTTGGAGGGACCTGGGGGACCCGGGGTGCAGGGGGTGAAGGGGGAATCAGGGGACACGGGGGACTTGAGGGGATCCCAGGGGAACACGATACAGGGGTGTCCACAGGGTGCAGGGGGAAGGTGGGGACACTTGGGGGACACGGGATCCAGGGGCACTCGGGACTGCGGGACGGACGTGGGGTGCGGAGGGGACTGGGGGGGGACACGAGGGTGTGCGTGGGGACAGGGGACTTGGGGTGAACTGGGGAGATTTGAGGGATCAGGGGACTTGGGGGTGCAGGGGGGCGCTTGGGAGGGACCTGTGGGACACGGGGTGCAGGGGCGACTTGTGGGGGGACACAGGGTGCAAAAGGGAGCTCGGGGGTGAAGGGGGAATCAGGGAGCACGGGGGACTTGAGGGGATCCCAGGGGGACACGGTACAGGGGTGTCCATAGGGTGCAGGTGGGACATCGGGGGGGCTTTGGAGGGTCCTGGAATTTGGGGGCCAGAGGGGACACGGGGGGATCTGGGCTCCGGGCGTGACGCCGGAGGGAAGGACTCGGGCTCCAGGTGGGCCGTGGGGATGGGGTCACACAGAGCCGGGGCAGGACACGGCGGGTACCCGGCATGCTGGGGGTCCCAGGTTCGTGCGGGACCGCGTGGAGCGCTGCGGGGACCCCCAGGCCGTGGCCCTGAGCGTGGCCGAGCTGGGCGAGCCCCAGCCCAGCAGCCCCGACACCAAACGCCTCAGCGAGTGCCTGCGGCGCATTGGCGATGAGCTCGACAGCAACATGGAGCTGCAGAGGTGGGCAGCTGCCGCTTTTCGGGGGTGTCTGTGGTGTCCCCAAGCCCGCCCTGACCGTCCCCACCGTCCCCTGCCCCAGGATGATTGAGCAGGTGGGGTGTGACGCCCCCAAAAAGCTGTTTTTCCGCGTGGCCAAGGAGATGTTCGCCGATGGCACCTTCAACTGGGGCCGTGTGGTTGCCCTGTTCTACTTTGCCTGCAAACTGGTGCTGAAGGTGGGTGTGGAGCCCCCCCGAAGGCCATCCCCGGTCCCTCCTAACCCCCTCTGACCCCTCCCTGCTCCGGGCAGGCTCTCTGCACCAAGGTCCCGGAGCTGGTCCAGACCATCCTGCGCTGGACCATGGAGTATCTCCAGGAGCACGTGCTGGCCTGGATCCAGGCCCAGGGCGGATGGGTGAGACCCCAAATCCCCCTCAGGGGGCCATGCCCGTGACCCTTCCCTAACAGCCCCTTATACCCCAAACTCCCCATTCCTCAGGGGACCATGCCCCTCTTTCGGAATTTCCCCTCTGCAACATCCCCTTTTACCCCAAATTTTACCCCAAATCTTCCCCTCCGTGCCTGGTTTCCCAACTGCCCTGAGCCTGGTTGTTCTGGGGGGAGGTTTGGGAACCCCCAGCACAGCACAGGGTGACCTTCCCCCTCCCTTGTCCCTTCCTCGCAGGAAGGGCTATTGTCCCACTTCGGGACCCCCACCTGGCAGACCATCACCATCTTCGCTGCTGGTGTCCTCACGGCCTCGCTGACCATCTGGAAGATGTCATAGACTCTCGGGGGGCCACATTTTGTCCCCCACTACCCCCGGAACCCCTCCCCAGACTAGCCCTGCCGGCAGGGATGGTGCTGACCCCCAGCACCTTCCAGGGCTGGGGGGGTTTTTAACCAACAGGACTCGCTCACCTGGATTTTGGGGTGGAGGTCGAGCTGGGGGGGACCCTCCCCCAGCCCCCCCCCTCCCCCAGCCCTTTCCACAAGGGTCCAGAGGCCACAGCTGGGATTTGGGGGGGGAGTTGGGGGTGAATGGGGTGGGAGCACCCCACCTTCCCCTGCCGTGCCCCCCGGTCCTGGTGCTGGGCCTCCCTGGCCTCGGTTCAACCCCAGGACTTGTGGTGCTTTGAGTGGGGGGGAGTGGGGGGGTATCTTGCGGTTCCACCCCCCGATATGGGGGTGAGTGGGGTGGTGGGGGTGTCTCTGTGACCCCCCCTAGAATGAGGTGGGGGGGTGGGGGGGAGGGTTACAGCTATGGCTGTAGGGTGAGTATTTATTGGGGGTCCACACCCCCCAGAAAGGGCCCCCCCAGGTGCAATACCCCCCTCCCGGGGCGGAGGCTCTCAGGGTGGGGGGGCCACACCCCCCGTTTACACCCCCTCAACCCCCCCTGTTTTGGAAGTCCCTCGTGTCCCCGAGGCGGGGGGGGGGGGGGGGGGGCAAAGCGACCCCTTCCCCCAGCCCCCACGGTGCTCTCGGGGGTGGCGTCACGGGGAACCACTCCTCCCAAAAAAATGGGTGGGCCCTGCCTTGCTTCTCTCCATAGTGTTTTTTTTTCTCTTTTTTTGTACCTTGTTTTTTGTATCTCGGGAATTTACATGGAAATAAAAGGCAAACGCGATGCTTCGTGGGCGTGTCCCCATCCCGCCCCCAAAAAACTCGGGGAGCCCTCGGGCTGGGGAAGGGGGGGGACAGGACTTGGGGGAAGTCGAGGCAGCGCTGCTTTCACTTTCTCTTTTGCCACGTGGCTTTGGGGGGGGGGCGGCTGCGGGGCTGTTTTGAGGGGGCTCAGGGCACCCCCACTGTTGTTCAACAACATCTCGGGGACTGGGGGGCCCTGGTTGATGGGGAAAAATGGGGAGGGGGTCCTTCACCCCTTCCTCCCATCCCCGCAGAGCCAGGGGAATGTTTGAGGTCCGTGTGTGTGTGCGGGGGAGGGGGGTCCCGATCCCGGGGTTCACTGAGCAGCCGCTCAGGAGGGTCTTGGGGTTGGGGTCCCACATCTGGACCCTTCTCCACGGGGCCGTGTCCTTCCTGCAGCGCAACCTCTGGACCCAGCGCCAGAGGGACATTGGGGTGGCTTCGGGGGGCGCGGGGGTGGCTTTGGGGGTGGCTTTGGGGGTGCTCCCCCTTCCCCCCCGAGGTTCCTCTCAGCCAGCCGAGCCGGGCGCCCCTGGAGCTGCGGGGACCCCGAGAGATGAGGGATGGGAAGGGAAGCTCCGGGGACACCCAGTTCCAACCAGTCTCCCCCAGTTGCGGAGCGGCGGAAATGCGGATTCAGCTCTTTCCCCGCGGCCAAGTTCCTCTTTTGTTGTCCCGGCGCCGAGTCAGCTCCTTCCGCACCCTACAACCTCTTAAACTCCGATTAACGGGCAATCGCGCCTCGGGACCTGGCAGGACACCCAAAAAACACCCCCCAAGCTCCCTCCAGCCCCCCAACCCTGCAGTGAACTGGGGCTCTCCCCCAGCCCCCCCCGGGACACCGCTCATGGGGGGGACACAAGCGTGGGGTGGAACCCCCCCAGCCCCAAAATCCTGCCCAGTCATGCTGACTGCGGGACCGTGTGACAAACACGGCCAAGGGCCAAGGCCACCGCGCCCCTTCCGGAGGGGCGGGCGGGGTGCCCGGCGGGGCAGGGCGATAAAACCCCGCGGCGGACGTTGAGCGGCCACAGCCGCGTTCTCGCTTCAACAGTGCTTGAACGGAACCGGCTGCTCGCGGCCCTTCGTCCATCTCGGCCGTCCGCCCGTCCGTCCCGCCGCTCCCGAACCCGAACCCGAACCCGAACCGCGCCGTCCGTCCCGCCATGGACTCCCAGATCCGCCAGAACTACCACCGCGACTGCGAAGCCGCCATCAACCGCATGGCCAACATGGAGCTCTACGCTTCCTACGTCTACCTCTCCATGGTGGGGGGCTCGGGGTTGGGGGATCCCCCTCCCTTCTCCCTTCCTTTGCCCCAAAACCCAATTCCATCCCGCCGCGCTGCTGGAGGGGAGGCTGCGCCGCTTGGGAGGGCGGAATCAGAGGAATTTGGGGGGGGTGGGGGGGGGTCCTGGGGGGCTCCTCCTGACCTTCCCCCCCCCCCTCCCCTCCCGCAGGGGTTTTACTTCGACAGGGACGACGTGGCCCTGCCGCGGGTGTCGCAGTTTTTCCTGCAGCAGTCGCGGGAGGAGCGGGAGCACGCCGAGGGGCTCCTGCGCTTCCAGACGCGCCGCGGCGGCCGCATCCTCCTGCAGGACATCAAGGTGTGCGCTGGTGGGAGGGCGGCTGTGGCTGTGGGCCGGTTGGCCGCGGGCTGCCGTGACGGTTCGTGCCCCGCAGAAGCCGGAGCGGGACGCCTGGGGCTCGGCGCTGGAGGCGGTGGAAGCGGCGCTGCAGCTGGAGAAGTCGGTGAACCAGGCGCTGCTGGACCTGCACGCCTTGGCTTCCGAGAAGGGGGACCCCCACGTGAGTGGTGCCGTGGCTTTCACCCCACTCGCCCCCAGCTCCAAATGCTCCCAATTCCTCCCATTTCCCATGCCCGTGCCTTGGGATCGCCCCGCGGCTCCCTCTCCCACGGGCGTCCTTGCAATCTCCTGCTGCTCCTGAGGGTCCCTCGCCTCTCACAGACCCTCGGCCCTGCCTGATATTGCTTTGTCCCACAGCTTTGTGACTTCCTGGAGTCCAACTACCTGGACGAGCAAGTGAAGGCCATCAAGGAGCTGGGGGACCATGCCACTAACCTGCGGCGCCTCGCTGGTGGGGCCACTGGGCCTGGGGGGGCCTCGGCTGGCCTCGGTGAATACCTGTTCGACCGTCTGAGCTTGGAGGAGCGCAGCTGAAACTCCCCCCACCTTTGCCTCCACAGACAGCCCCCAGCACCGTCTTCCTCTGCCCCCAGACCCTTGTAACCCCCCTGCCCCATCCAAGGGGGCCCTGCCTGCTGGGCCCTCCCAGCATGATTCCAATAAAGGGTCTGTCTTTGCCTGCAGTTGTCTCCTCTGTTATTTGCTCCCCCCGCACCGGGGAGGGGACACCGGCCTGTCATGGGATGGGGGAGGTGGCACGGCCCCTTCACTGATGGGCAACACCTAACAAGTTTATAGGAATATCAGGTGTTGCTGAGCACGTTCTGACCCTGTAGTAAGGTCTGAAGAAAACTAGAAGGGGCTCTTCAACACAGGAAGGAGAGCCTTCAACTTCAGCATCTTGGGACAAGTTTACAGAGTAGATCTGTCCATCCTAGGCCAGCCAAAGCTATAGTTCCTTGCAGCTTTTGTCAGCGAGAAATCCTGCACCGTTTTCAAATTAAGGAGGCAGAAGGTGACTCCTGAACATGAACGCCGGCCCATTTCCCTGGGAAAGAAAACTCGCCAGCCCAGGTTCCTGATGTCAGTTTGCAGGGTGCGCTTGGGACTGTCAGGGCAGCACAAGTTTGAGTGGGGGCAGGTTGGGTCTGGGACACAGCCTGCGCCATTCAAATTTTAGGAGGCAACTGCCCATTCAGGGCCACAGGCGCCTGAAATTGAACATCAGCCCTTTTCCCTTACACAGAACTCACCACCCCAGGTTCCTGATGCCGGTTTGCAGGAGGTGCTTGTCACTGCCAGGGCAGCCCGAATTCTTTGTGGGGGCAGTTTTTCTCCATGTGAAATCCTGCTCCATTCAGAAATAGAAGATGCAAAATGTCCTTCTGGGCCACTGATCCCTGGACCCATACGCTTGTTATTGAAGGATAAGTCCCAGACAGGAGCTGCCCCCACCTCATACTTGTTTGTGCTCAGGGTCCTGTGGCCCTGAGCGGGCAGCTGACTGCAAAAAATCCGAACATCGAAGGATAAGTCCCAGACAGGAGCTGCCCCCACCTCATACTTGTGCTGCCCTGACAGTCCCAGGGGAGCCCTAGAAACTGACATCAGGAACCTGGACTGCTGAGTTTTCTTTCCCAGGGAAAAGAGCCGATGTTTGTGCTCAGGGTCCTGTGGCCCTGAGCAGGCAGCTGACTGCAAAAATGCGAACATCGGATCTGTACAGGGGGGTTCCTGACCCCTGCCAGGGTTCCAGGGCGGCCAGAGCCCTACAAAGCCCTGGATTCCCAGACGGTGTCAGAAAGGGACCTGGGGCTGAGGGTGGCACAGATGGTGGGTGCAGCTGATAGGCAGAAGGGGTGTGCAGGAGTAAAAAGGGGGGCACAGAGACACTGAGAGGCTGCGGTGAAGGAATTGAGGGTGACACAAGGAGGCTGAGAGGCAGAAGGGTCTGTAGGAGTAAAAAGGGGGACACAGAGACACTGAGAGGCTGCAATGGGGGAATGGAGGGTGACACATGGAGGCTGAGAGGCAGAAGGGTCTGTAGGAGTAAAAAGGGGGACACAGGGACACTGAGAGGCTGCGGTGCGGGAATGGAGGGTGACACAAGGAGGCTGAGGGGCAGAAGGGTCTGTAGGAGTAAAAAGGGGGGCACAGGGACACTGAGAGGCTGCAATGGGGAGCTGGAGGGTGACACAAGGAGGCTGAGAGGCAGAAGGGTCTGTAGGAGTAAAAAGGGGGACACAGAGACACTGAGAGGCTGCAATGGGGGAATGGAGGGTGACACATGGAGGCTGAGAGGCAGAAGGGTCTGTAGGAGTAAAAAGGGAGGCACAGAGATGCTGAGAGGCTGCGGTGGGGGAATGGAGGGTGACACAAGGAGGCTGAGGGGCAGAAGGGGTCTGTAGGAGTAAAAAGGGGGGCACAGGGACACTGAGAGGCTGAGGTGGGGGAATGGAGGGTGACACAAGGAGGCTGAGGGGCAGAAGGGGTCTGTAGGAGTAAAAAGGGGGGCACAGGGACACTGAGAGGCTGCAATGGGGAGCTGGAGGGTGACACATGGAGGCAGAGAGGCAAGGGGTGCCTTGAGGGACAAAGTGGAGGGTGCCTGAGGGTGACAGGTGAACAAGCCCTAAGCTCACCCCAAACAGCACCCCAAGAACACCAGTTTTCCCCAGCAGCAGCTGCAGGCAGTGACCCTAATGCTGGGACAGCCACAGAACCCTCCCAGCAGCTGCAGGCAGTTACTTTAATTAAAAGGCATGGATGGTGTCTGGGACTGAACACTTTTTAAAGTATTTTTTAAAGTGTTTTTAAAGGGTGTTTGAGGGGTTTTCTCACAGAAGCTCTTGAGGAACTTTCTGGGAGGTTTTAGGCTACTTCTAGGGTATTTTCAGGGTTTTTAAAAGATTTATTTAAGGTGCTTCAAGGGCTTTCTTAGTACTAATTAGAATTTCTATGGGATTTTTTCTGGGGTGTTCTTGGGGCTGTTTTAAGACTATTTAACAATTTTTAGGGCTTTTTTAGGACTATTGGGGGTATGTGGAGGACTCTTAGGACCAGAGTATTTTTAGGTTTTTTTGAGGGAAGTTTTATGGTTTTTAGGGTCTTATCAGTGTGTTTTAAGGATTTTGGGGCTATTTTTAGAGCTCTTTTAGGAATGTTTAGGGATTTTTAAAGGTTCTTTGGGGATTTTTAGGGGTGGTTTAGGGTTTTTTTAAAGTAGGGTAATTTTATTGTATTTTAAGGGTATTCTGAGCCTATTTTTATGATTTTGTGGGGGTTTAGGACATAGTGAGGATGAGGGTGTTTTTAGGGCATTTTAATGGTTTTTTTTAGGGTCTTTTCATGGCATAGAGGCTGAGGGGCAGCTTGAGGGGCACTGTGGGGGCTTGAGGGTGACAGAGGCTGGGAGCTGAGGGAGGAACAGGGGGAGAGGACAGTGGGTGACACAGGGAGATGCTGAGGGGGACAGGGGCAGCTGGAGGGTGACACAGAGAAGCAGCTGTCATTTCCCTGAAGAGTTTTTTTCTGTATCCAGCCCATTATTCCCCTTGAACTCAAATCAGAGGAGCCAAACAGCCACAGCTGCTCTGAGTCAGCCCAATCAGGGGTATATTAACCCCAGCCTTTGCCAAGAGGCTTCATTTGCTCTCTGGGATCCACTGGGGTAAGTGCTCTCCTCTCATTTTTGTGAAGAGGCTCTTTCACCTTATCTCTGTTTGTTCTCTGCAGGTGCTTTTGGGCTTCTAATGCAACAGAGGCTTTGAAGATACTGTGAGGAAAACAACGCTGAACACAGGTAGTATTTAATTTCATGATTTGGGGTTGTGCATTCAGGGGTGGTGAAGTGCTTTTGTAATCTCTAATTTTTTGGGTTTTTTTTAGGAGGAGTGCAACTTCCTGTAATTCCAGGTTGTGTCGAGTACAGCATTTTTTCAGCAGAGTGATCATGTTCCAAAAGGGATCTGCCCTGTGTCAAAGATGATGTCTGAGATTGAGGCTTCAGGTGAGTTGAGGATTGGGACTAGGAGTGGGAGAGTGAGCAGGGTACCCAGTTAAGAGTTATCATGGTGGGGTTTTGCAGGCAGTAGGGTGAGAAATGGTGTCTATTTGCAAGGCTTTTCACAAGCATAGCAGAGGCATCCATGTATCATACAGCACACAAGCTCATCCACTGAACTCACAGAAATGCCATGTAACTTTGCCTCTCTAAACCAGGTGCTACTCATAATAACAGCCAAACCTTAGACTAGGGATGGAGCTGGAGACTTGAGCACCCAGGCACACTCAGGAGAGGATAAGTATCTGACTTGCTGGGATTTGGCCCACATAACACTAAACTCAACCATTGATTTTCCTGTTCTTTATTCTAGCTGACTAAGAGGCCAACAGGAGATCCCCTCCGAGGCAGACTCATTTCAGGTCCAACGTGGATTCGCATTTCCAGTCATCCAAAAGATAAGTATGGTCCATGGCCTGGGGATGGGAGTAGTGGCCCCCTTCTGCACCCGATGGGGATTTGAATCCCCAGATATGTGCAAGATAAGTCAAGGGCTACAACCCACAGAGGGGATGGAAGCGAGGTGCCAGGTTGGGACTCCCCAGGAGGGGTTTTTGAGTTAGTTTTAGAGATGAGGATGTCCAAGAAGTGTCTCCTTAGGCCAGCTAAAGGAAAAGTGTCTGTTTTGATCACAGTGCCGGGGTGCGCAGGGCAGAGCAGTTCTGGTGTGTGTTCTGTCACTTGTCTCTGGTGCACTCTGTGTTCTTTGGGTCTCTCAGTCCTTTCTTCTCATCAAAAGCTCTCTCTCCCTGTCCTGTCTCCTGGTTTGTCATGTCCTGTCCTGTGTCACGGGTGTCTGCACATATTTGTACCGGAGCTGCTCTGCCCTGCTGTGTAGCCTGTAATAGCACAAGTCCTGGGGACTTGAAATTAGTAATGCAGGTTGCAGCTGGGCTCCAGATTTTATTAGGAGATTGACATAACATGCTTGGTACTGTTAAGTTGTCCTGTAGAGGTTTGACATTAGTCCTAACTTCCTTTCAGATGCAGACAGTACAAATCGGTGGCAAAGGGCACCAGTCCTGGATGAGGAACTTCCCATGAGCTGGTCAGTCATTGTTTGCATTTACAGGGGAAGCATAAATGGTGAATCTGTTTCAGCACTGTTCTTTGCCTTTACTTTTAGGAGGTCCAGGCAGATAGCAGCAGTCAAAGCCCAGTGTGCCAGGTGAGCAGTGGACAGAAGCAGTTGTTCTTGCTAAGGTTTCAGTTTTTGGTGCAACTGTAATCATCCATTCTTGTTTTTGTGCTTTAGGGAATCCACTGGGAGTATGCTAAGCCCCTGTCAGCAGCTGGCTGATGGACTGGGTTTGCTGTGCTTGTGAGTCCTCTGGAAGTATTACAGGACCCTGTGATGAAGCCTACTGATTTTGCATTTCAAGGTCCCATCCTGGTAGCCCAGAGCAGTGGCCAAGGAGTTGTGGTGAGTCGGGGAGGTAGGGAGGAGGAGTGAGAGTCCACTCAAGTTTCAGCAATGCCATGTCACCCTTTCTCCACTTAATCTAGGTGTACCCTGAGATGATGCTGTCGGCCTCCAAGCACGCCTGCGGTGTGTGGCCCGACCATTCTGAGGAGAATGGTGAGTAGCAGAATTGTCAGGTTTTGGCCATTGTGCTGTTACGGTTGTGCACTGATGTTTGGTTTTCTTTGTCTTGGCAGACCAAGAGAGAACAGTCTGGTGACAACTGGAGTTTCCCAGACAGGCAGGAGGCCTCGTTCTGCACCCGATGGAGATTTGGATCCCCAGATATATGCCAGATAAGTCAAGGGCTACAACCCACAGAGGGCATGGAAGCGAGGTGCCAGGTTGGGACTCCCCAGGAGGGGTTTTTGAGTCAGTTTTGGATACGGGGATGTCTAAGAAGCGTCTCCTTAGGCCAGCTGAAGGGAAAGTGTCTGTTTTGATCACAGTGCTGAGGTGCGCAGGGCAGAGCAGTTCTGGTGTGTGTTCTGTCACTTGTCTCTGGTGCACTCTGTGTTCTTTGGGTCTCTCAGTCCTTTCTTCTCATCAAAAGCTCTCCCTCCCTGTTCTGTCTCCTGGTTTGTCATGTCCTGTCCTGTGTCACGGGTGTCTGCACATATTTGTACCGGAGCTGCTCTGCCCTGCTGTGTAGCCTGTAATAGCACAAGTCCTGGGGACTTGAAATTAGTAATGCAGGTTGCAGCTGGGCTCCAGATTTTATTAGGAGATTGACATAACATGCTTGGTACTGTTAAGTTGTCCTGTAGAGGTTTGACATTAGTCCTAACTTCCTTTCAGATGCAGACAGTACAAATCGGTGGCAAAGGGCACCAGTCCTGGATGAGGAACTTCCCATGAGCTGGTCAGTCATTGTTTGCATTTACAGGGGAAGCATAAATGGTGAATCTGTTTCAGCACTGTTCTTTGCCTTTACTTTTAGGAGGTCCAGGCAGATAGCAGCAGTCAAAGCCCAGTGTGCCAGGTGAGCAGTGGACAGAAGCAGTTGTTCTTGCTAAGGTTTCAGTTTTTGGTGCAACTGTAATCCTCCATTCTTGTTTTTGTGCTTTAGGGAATCCACTGGGAGTATGCTAAGCCCCTGTCAGCAGCTGGCTGATGGACTGGGTTTGCTGTGCTTGTGAGTCCTCTGGAAGTATTACAGGACCCTGTGATGAAGCCTACTGATTTTGCATTTCAAGGTCCCATCCTGGTAGCCCAGAGCAGTGGCCAAGGAGTTGTGGTGAGTCGGGGAGGTAGGGAGGAGGAGTGAGAGTCCACTCAAGTTTCAGCAATGCCATGTCACCCTTTCTCCACTTAATCTAGGTGTACCCTGAGATGATGCTGTCGGCCTCCAAGCACGCCTGCGGTGTGTGGCCCGACCATTCTGAGGAGAATGGTGAGTAGCAGAATTGTCAGGTTTTGGCCATTGTGCTGTTACGGTTGTGCACTGATGTTTGGTTTTCTTTGTCTTGGCAGACCAAGAGAGAACAGTCTGGTGACAACTGGAGTTTCCCAGACAGGCAGGAGGCCTCGTTCTGCACCCGATGGAGATTTGGATCCCCAGATATATGCCAGATAAGTCAAGGGCTACAACCCACAGAGGGCATGGAAGCGAGGTGCCAGGTTGGGACTCCCCAGGAGGGGTTTTTGAGTCAGTTTTGGATACGGGGATGTCTAAGAAGCGTCTCCTTAGGCCAGCTGAAGGGAAAGTGTCTGTTTTGATCACAGTGCTGAGGTGCGCAGGGCAGAGCAGTTCTGGTGTGTGTTCTGTCACTTGTCTCTGGTGCACTCTCTGTTCTTTGGGTCTCTCGGTCCTTTCTTCTCATCAAAAGCTCTCCCTCCCTGTTCTGTCTCCTGGTTTGTCATGTCCTGTCCTGTGTCACGGGTGTCTGCACATATTTGTACCGGAGCTGCTCTGCCCTGCTGTGTAGCCTGTAATAGCACAAGTCCTGGGGACTTGAAATTAGTAATGCAGGTTGCAGCTGGGCTCCAGATTTTTTTAGGAGATTGACATAACATGCTTGGTACTGTTAAGTTGTCCTGCAGCTGTTTGACACTAGTCCTAACTTCTTTTCAGGTACAGACAGCTCAAATCGGTGGCAGATGGCCCGAATCCTGGGTGAGGAACTTCCCATGAGCTGGTCAGTCATTGTTTGCATTTACAGGGGAAGCATAAATGGTGAATCTGTTTCAGCACTGTTCTTTGCCTTTACTTTTAGGAGGTCCAGGCAGATAGCAGCAGTCAAAGCCCAGTGTGCCAGGTGAGCAGTGGACAGAAGCAGTTGTTCTTGCTAAGGTTTCAGTTTTTGGTGCAACTGTAATCCTCCATTCTTGTTTTTGTGCTTTAGGGAATCCACTGGGAGTATGCTAAGCCCCTGTCAGCAGCTGGCTGATGGACTGGGTTTGCTGCACTTATGAGCCCTCTGGAAGTATTACAGGACCCTGTGATGAAGCCTTCTGATTTTGCACTTCAAGGTCCCATCCTGGTAACCCAGAGCAGTGGCCAAGGAGTTGTGGTGAGTCGGGGAGGTAGGGAGGAGGAGTGAGAGTCCTCTCGTGTTTCAGCATTGTCTCCCCTTAACCTAGGTGTGCCCTGCAATGATGGCGTCAGAATCCAACCACACCCGGAGCGTGCAGGCCAAGAACCCGGGCATTCTGAGGAGAATGGTGAGTAGCAGAATTGTCAGGTTTTGGCCATTGTGCTGTTACGGTTGTGCACTGATGTTTGGTTTTCTTTCTCTTGGCAGGCCAAGAGGTGACAGCTGGAACTTCCCAGACAGGCAGGAGGCCTCGTTCTGCACCCGATGGAGATTTGGATCCCCAGATATATGCCAGATAAGTCAAGGGCTACAACCCACAGAGGGCATGGAAGCGAGGTGCCAGGTTGGGAGTCCCCAGGAGGGGTTTTTGAGTCAGTTTTGGATACGGGGATGTCTAAGAAGCGTCTCCTTAGGCCAGCTGAAGGGAAAGTGTCTGTTTTGATCTCAGTGCTGAGGTGCGCAGGGCAGAGCAGTTCTGGTGTGTGTTCTGTCACTTGTCTCTGGTGCATTCTGTGTTCTTTGGGTCTCTCAGTCCTTTCTTCTCATCAAAAGCTCTCTCCCCCTGTTCTGTCTCCTGGTTTGTCATGTCCTGTCCTGTGTCACGGGTGTCTGCACATATTTGTACCGGAGCTGCTCTGCCCTGCTGCGTAGCCTGTAATAGCACAAGTCCTGGGGACTTGAAATTGGTAATGCAGGGTGTAGCTGGGCTCCAGATTGTGTTAGGAGATTACCAGAACATGTTTGGTGGTGTTGAGTTGTCCTGCAGCATTTTGACATTAGTTCTAACTTCCTTTCAGATGCAGACATTTCAAGTCTGTGGCTGGAGGGCCCGAATCCTTGGTGAGGAACTTCCCATGAGCAGGTCAGTCATTGTTTGCATTTACAGGGGAAGCATAAATGGTGAATCTGTTTCAGCACTGTTCTTTGCCTTTACTTTTAGGAGGTCCAGGCAGATAGCAGCAGTCAAAGCCCAGTGTGCCAGGTGAGCACTGGAGAGAAGCAGTTGTTCTTGCTAAGGTTTCAGTTTTTGGTGCAACTGTATTCATCCATTCTTGTTTTTGTGCTTTAGGGAATCCACTGGGAGTTTGCATATCCCCTGTCAGCAGCTGGCTGATGGACTGGGTTTGCTGTGCTTGTGAGTCCTCTGGAAGTATTACAGGACCCTGTGATGAAGCCTACTGATTTTGCATTTCAAGGTCCCATCCTGGTAGCCCAGAGCAGTGGCCAAGGAGTTGTGGTGAGTCGGGGAGGTAGGGAGGAGGAGTGAGAGTCCTCTCGTGTTTCAGCATTGTCTCCCCTCAACCTAGGTGTACCCTGGAATGATGGCATCAGAATCCAACCACACCTGGAGCGTGCAGGCCAAGAACCCGGGCATTCTGAGGAGGATGGTGAGTAGCAAAATTATGAGGTTTTGGCCCCTGTGCTCTTAAGGCTGTGCACTGATGTTTGGTTTTCTTTGTCTTGGCAGACCAAGAGAGAACAGTCTGGTGACAACTGGAGTTTCCCAGACAGGCAGGAGGCCTCGTTCTGCACCCGATGGAGATTTGGATCCCCAGATATATGCAAGATAAGTCAAGGGCTACAACCCACAGAGGGCATGGAAGCGAGGTGCCAGGTTGGGAGTCCCCAGGAGGGGTTTTTGAGTCAGTTTTGGATACGGGGATGTCTAAGAAGCGTCTCCTTAGGCCAGCTGAAGGGAAAGTGTCTGTTTTGATCACAGTGCTGAGGTGCGCAGGGCAGAGCAGTTCTGGTGTGTGTTCTGTCACTTGTCTCTGGTGCACTCTGTGTTCTTTGGGTCTCTCAGTCCTTTCTTCTCATCAAAAGCTCTCCCTCCCTGTTCTGTCTCCTGGTTTGTCATGTCCTGTCCTGTGTCACGGGTGTCTGCACATATTTGTACCGGAGCTGCTCTGCCCTGCTGTGTAGCCTGTAATAGCACAAGTCCTGGGGACTTGAAATTAGTAATGCAGGTTGCAGCTGGGCTCCAGATTTTTTTAGGAGATTGACATAACATGCTTGGTACTGTTAAGTTGTCCTGCAGCATTTTGACATTAGTCCTAACTTCCTTTCAGATGCAGACAGTACAAATCGGTGGCAAAGGGCACCAGTCCTGGATGAGGAACTTCCCATGAGCTGGTCAGTCATTGTTTGCATTTACAGGGGAAGCATAAATGGTGAATCTGTTTCAGCACTGTTCTTTGCCTTTACTTTTAGGAGGTCCAGGCAGATAGCAGCAGTCAAAGCCCAGTGTGCCAGGTGAGCATTGGAGAGAAGCAGTTGTTCTTGCTCAGGTTTCAGTTTTTGGTGCAACTGTAAGCATCCATTCTTGTTTTTGTGCTTTAGGGAATCCACTGGGAGTTTGCATATCCCCTGTCAGCAGCTGGCTGATGGACTGGGTTTGCTGTGCTTGTGAGTCCTCTGGAAGTATTACAGGATCCTGTGATGAAGCCTACTGATTTTGCATTTCAAGGTCCCATCCTGGTAGCCCAGAGCAGTGGCCAAGGAGTTGTGGTGAGTCGGGGAGGTAGGGAGGAGGAGTGAGAGTCCACTCAAGTTTCAGCAATGCCATGTCACCCTTTCTCCACTTAATCTAGGTGTACCCTGAGATGATGCTGTCGGCCTCCAAGCACGCCTGCGGTGTGTGGCCCGACCATTCTGAGGAGAATGGTGAGTAGCAGAATTGTCAGGTTTTGGCCATTGTGCTGTTACGGTTGTGCACTGATGTTTGGTTTTCTTTGTCTTGGCAGACCAAGAGAGAACAGTCTGGTGACAACTGGAGTTTCCCAGACAGGCAGGAGGCCTCGTTCTGCACCCGATGGAGATTTGGATCCCCAGATATATGCCAGATAAGTCAAGGGCTACAACCCACAGAGGGCATGGAAGCGAGGTGCCAGGTTGGGAGTCCCCAGGAGGGGTTTTTGAGTCAGTTTTGGATACGGGGATGTCTAAGAAGCGTCTCCTTAGGCCAGCTGAAGGGAAAGTGTCTGTTTTGATCACAGTGCTGAGGTGCGCAGGGCAGAGCAGTTCTGGTGTGTGTTCTGTCACTTGTCTCTGGTGCACTCTGTGTTCTTTGGGTCTCTCAGTCCTTTCTTCTCATCAAAAGCTCTCCCTCCCTGTTCTGTCTCCTGGTTTGTCATGTCCTGTCCTGTGTCACGGGTGTCTGCACATATTTGTACCGGAGCTGCTCTGCCCTGCTGTGTAGCCTGTAATAGCACAAGTCCTGGGGACTTGAAATTAGTAATGCAGGTTGCAGCTGGGCTCCAGATTTTATTAGGAGATTGACATAACATGCTTGGTACTGTTAAGTTGTCCTGTAGAGGTTTGACATTAGTCCTAACTTCCTTTCAGATGCAGACATTTCAAGTCTGTGGCTGGAGGGCCCGAATCCTTGGTGAGGAACTTCCCATGAGCAGGTCAGTCATTGTTTGCATTTACAGGGGAAGCATAAATGGTGAATCTGTTTCTGCTCTGTTCTTTGCCTTTACTTTTAGGAGGTCCAGGCAGATAGCAGCAGTCAAAGCCCAGTGTGCCAGGTGAGCAGTGGACAGAAGCAGTTGTTCTTGCTAAGGTTTCAGTTTTTGGTGCAACTGTAATCATCCATTCTTGTTTTTGTGCTTTAGGGAATCCACTGGGAGTATGCTAAGCCCCTGTCACCAGCTGGCTGATGGACTGGGTTTGCTGTGCTTGTGAGTCCTCTGGAAGTATTACAGGACCCTGTGATGAAGCCTACTGATTTTGCATTTCAAGGTCCCATCCTGGTAGCCCAGAGCAGTGGCCAAGGAGTTGTGGTGAGTCGGGGAGGTAGGGAGGAGGAGTGAGAGTCCTCTCGAGTTTCAGCATTGCCTCCCCTTAACCTAGGTGTGCCCTGCAATGATGGCATCAGAATCCAACCACACCCGGAGCATGCAGGCCCAGAACCCGGGCATTCTGAGGAGGATGGTGAGTAGCAAAATTATCAGGTTTTGGCCAATGTGCTGTTAAGGCTGTGCACTGATGTTTGGTTTTCTTTGTCTTGGCAGGCCAAGAGGTGACAGCTGGAACTTACCAGACAGGCAGACGGCCTCCTTCTGCAGCCAACAGGGATTTGCATCCCCAGATATATGCCAGATAAGTCAAGGGCTACAACCCACAGAGGGCATGGAAGCGAGGTGCCAGGTTGGGAGTCCCCAGGAGGGGTTTTTGAGTCAGTTTTGGATACGGGGATGTCTAAGAAGCGTCTCCTTAGGCCAGCTGAAGGGAAAGTGTCTGTTTTGATCACAGTGCTGAGGTGCGCAGGGCAGAGCAGTTCCGGTGTGTGTTCTGTCACTTGTCTCTGGTGCACTCTCTGTTCTTTGGGTCTCTCGGTCCTTTCTTCTCATCAAAAGCTCTCTCTCCCTGTTCTGTCTCCTGGTTTGTCATGTCCTGTCCTGTGTCACGGGTGTCTGCACATATTTGTACCGGAGCTGCTCTGCCCTGCTGTGTAGCCTGTAATAGCACAAGTCCTGGGGACTTGAAATTAGTAATGCAGGTTGCAGCTGGGCTCCAGATTTTTTTAGGAGATTGACATAACATGCTTGGTACTGTTAAGTTGTCCTGTAGAGGTTTGACATTAGTCCTAACTTCCTTTCAGATGCAGACAGCTCAAATCGGTGGCAGATGGCCTGAATCCTGGGTGAGGAACTTCCCATGAGCAGGTCAGTCATTGTTTGCATTTTTAGGGGAAGACTAAATGGTGAATCTGTTTCAGCGGTGTTCTTTGCCTTTACTTTTAGGAGGTCCAGGCAGATAGCAGCAGTCAAAGCCCAGTGTGCCAGGTGAGCAGTGGACAGAAGCAGTTGTTCTTGCTCAGGTTTCAGTTTTTGGTGCAACTGTAATCATCCATTCTTGTTTTTGTGCTTTAGGGAATCCACTGGGAGTATGCTAAGCCCCTGTCAGCAGCTGGCTGATGGACTGGGTTTGCTGTGCTTGTGAGTCCTCTGGAAGTATTACAGGACCCTGTGATGAAGCCTACTGATTTTGCATTTCAAGGTCCCATCCTGGTAACCCAGAGCAGTGGCCAAGGAGTTGTGGTGAGTCAGGGAGGTAGGGAGGAGGAGTGAGAGTCCACTCAAGTTTCAGCAATGCCATGTCACCCTTTCTCCACTTAATCTAGGTGTACCCTGAGATGATGCTGTCGGCCTCCAAGCACGCCTGCGGTGTGTGGCCCGACCATTCTGAGGAGAATGGTGAGTAGCAGAATTGTCAGGTTTTGGCCATTGTGCTGTTACGGTTGTGCACTGATGTTTGGTTTTCTTTGTCTTGGCAGACCAAGAGAGAACAGTCTGGTGACAACTGGAGTTTCCCAGACAGGCAGGAGGCCTCGTTCTGCACCCGATGGAGATTTGGATCCCCAGATATATGCCAGATAAGTCAAGGGCTACAACCCACAGAGGGGATGGAAGCGAGGTGCCAGGTTGGGAGTCCCCAGGAGGGGTTTTTGAGTCAGTTTTGGATACGGGGATGTCTAAGAAGCGTCTCCTTAGGCCAGCTGAAGGGAAAGTGTCTGTTTTGATCACAGTGCTGAGGTGCGCAGGGCAGAGCAGTTCTGGTGTGTGTCCTGTCACTTGTCTCTGGTGCACTCTCTGTTCTTTGGGTCTCTCGGTCCTTTCTTCTCATCAAAAGCTCTCCCTCCCTGTTCTGTCTCCTGGTTTGTCATGTCCTGTCCTGTGTCACGGGTGTCTGCACATATTTGTACCGGAGCTGCTCTGCCCTGCTGCATAGCCTGTAATAGAACAAGTCCTGGGGACTTGAAATTAGTAATGCAGGGTGCAGCTGGGCTCCAGATTTTATTAGGAGATTGACATAACATGTTTGGTACTGTTAAGTTGTCCTGTAGAGGTTTGACATTAGTCCTAACTTCCTTTCAGATGCAGACATTTCAAATCAGTGGCAGAGGGCACCAACCCAGGGTGAGGGTGTTGTACTAAGCGGGTCCGTCATTGTTTGCATTAGGAAGCCAAAGTGATTCCTCAACCTTGGAAAGAAAAGCCTGAGTTTGTGCTCAGGACCCTATAGCCCTGAGCGAGAAGCTGATTGCACAAAATCCGAACATCGAAGAATGTGTCCCAGACCAGGGCTGCCCCTACCTCATACTTGTGCTGCCCTGAGAGTCCCAGGGGAGCCCTACAAACTGACATCAGGAACCTGGACTGGTGAGTTTTCTTTCCCAGGGAAAAGAGCCGATGTTCGCGCTCCGAGTCCTGTGGCCCTGATCTGGCAGTAGTCTGCAAAAAATCCGAATATCAAAGGGTAAGTCCCAGACAGGAGCTGCGCCCACCACATACCTGTGCTGCCCTGACAGTCCCAGGGGAGCCCTAGAAACTGACATCAGGAACCTGGACTGGTGAGTTTTCTTTCTCAGGGAAAAGAGCCGATGTTTGTGCTCAGGGTCCTGTGGCCCTAAACTGGCAGCAGTCTGCAAAAAATCAAAACATTGAAGGATAAGTGCCAGACAGGAGCTGCCCCCACCTCATACCTGTGCTGCCCTGACAGTCCCAGGGGAGCCCTACAAACTGACATCAGGAACCTGGACTGGGGAGTTTTCTTTCCCAGGGAAAAGAGCCGATGTTTGTGCTCAGGGTCCTGTGGCCCTGAGCGGGCAGCAGTCTGCAAAAAATCCAAACATCGAAGGATAAGTCCCAGACAGGGGCTGCCCCCACCTCATACTTGTGCTGCCCTGAGAGTCCCAGGGCAGCCCTACAAACTGACATCAGGAACCTGGACTGGTGAGTTTTCTTTCCCAGGGAAAAGAGCCGATGTTTGCGCTCCGAGGCCTGTGGCCCTGAGCGGGCAGCTGACTGCAAAAAATCGAAACATCGAAGGATAAGTCCCAGACAGGAGCTGCCCCCACCTCATACTTGTGCTGGCCTGACAGTCCCAGGGGAGCCCTACAAACTGACATCAGGAACCTGGACTGGTGAGTTTTCTTTCCCATGGAAAAGAGCCGATGTTTGCGCTCCGAGTCCTGTAGCCCTGAGCGGGCAGCTGACTGCAAAAAATCGAAACATCGAAGGATAAGTCCCAGACAGGAGCTGCCCCCACCTCATACTTGTGCTGCCCTGACAGTCCCAGGGGAGCCCTACAAACTGACATCAGGAACCTGGACTGGTGAGTTTTCTTTCCCAGGGAAAAGAGCCGATGTTTGCGCTCCGAGTCCTGTGGCCCTGAACTGGCAGCAGTCTGCAAAAAATCAAAACATCGAAGGATAAGTCCCAGACAGGAGCTGCCCCCACCTCATACTTGTGCTGCCCTGAGAGTCCCAGGGGAACCCCACAAAATTACATCAGGAACCTGGACTGGGGAGTTTTCTTTCCCAGGGAAAAGAGCCGATGTTTGTTCTCAGGGTCCTGTGGTCCTGAGCGGGCAGTAGTCTGCAAAAAATCAAAATATCGAAGGATAAGTCCCAGACAGGAGCTGCCCCCACCTCATACCTGTGCTGCCCTGAGAGTCCCAGGGGAGCCCTACACACTGACATCAGGAACCTGGACTGGTGAGTTTTCTTTCCCAGGCAAAAGAGCCGATGTTTGCGCTCCGAGTCCTGTGGCCCTGAGCTGGCAGCAGTCTGCAAAAAATCAAAACATCAAAGGATAAGTCCCAGACAGGATCTGCCCCCACCTCATACTTGTGCTGCCCTGACAGTCCCAGGGGAGCCCTACAAACTGACATCAGGAACCTGGACTGGTGAGTTTTCTTTCCCAGGGAAAAGAGCCGATGTTTGTGCTCAGGGTCCTGTGGTCCTGAGCGGGCAGTAGTCTGCAAAAAATCCAAACATCGAAGGATAAGTCCCAGACAGGAGCTGCCCCCCACCTCATACCTGTGCTGCCCTGACAGTCCAAAGGGAGCCCTACAAACTGACATCAGGAACCTGGACCTGGTGAGTTTTCTTTCCCAGGGACAAGAGCCGATGTTTGCGCTCCGAGGCCATTGGCCCTGAGCGGGCAGTAGTCTGCAAAAAATCAACACATCGAAGGATAAGTCCCAGACAGGAGCTGCCCCACCTCATACTTGTGCTGAACTACCTCATACTTGTGCTGCCCTGACAACCCAAAGGGAGCCCTACAAACTGACATCAGGAACCCTGACTGGTGAGTTTTCTTTCCCAGGGAAAAGATCTGATGTTTGCACTCCGAGTCCTGTGGCCCTGAGCGGGCAGCAGTCTGCAAAA